AATGTGATACCAAAGCTGAAGCTCCAATCTGTGTAAAGGACTGAGATCTTTAATGGGGTTCCCCCAACCTAACTACCCTCCATTAGAGGAAAATCAGTTTCTGACCATATCTGCTCTCCCAAAGCCTAGTTAATGAAAATGTGTACGTAAGGCAAGGGGGAATGTCTGTCTCTCACGAGCTTCTTTCCCTTCAAGACCCAGACAGACACGGGGGAACTTCATGATTGCTGTCTCAATATTTATCTTTTGCTTCAAAATACAACTTTAGAAAAAAAGAATATGTGTCAAGTTAGGTCCTGTAAATAGTAACAGTACAGTATATATTTATTCATAATTTTTAGTCAAAACTTTTGGCCTCTGAGGGCCTATTATTTATGTTATTTAACTGCTCGTGTATTTTTTACAAGATATAAAAATGGCTTTTGAGACGTATCACATATCTGGGATGGAAATTATTTCACTTTTTTAGTTCAACACTGAAGTTAGATTTTATATCAGGAAATATAAAAATATCTTCTGCTCTGCTCAGTTGAATGTTCATTTTTTTTTCTCATAGCATCATGTTTTTTTCCTTTTCTTTATAATTAAGACAGTTCATCATATACATAAAAGTCACACACATGAAGGCACACACATACTCAAATGTACTTGTCTTAGATATTTTCCTAGGTTCAGTTGGGTTTATTAATATATAAATATTAACAGGTAAAAATAAAGTAGTAATTGTTACAAGAATTGTTAAAAGGCCTGTCACTCTGGAAGGCCACATTTGTGTCTCCAGAGTCCAAAACAACATTTTAAAGAAGTATGAATTTGAAAATATTTGGATGAGACAAGTATGCTATCTTCATGACCCCTGAAAACATTTGAGTTTTACAGATGATAAGATGTGTCAGCATTTCTGAGTATTTATTTGTGTCATATTATTGATATTAAAATTTGACCACAGCACGTGAATTAAATAGGTTACCACTTTTTAATGTAATAGAGAACAATAAAGTATTTATATTATGTCTTAGGCACTTATTTTTAAAACCTCATCCACTTTTAGCATGCAATTAATTATGCATTTAAAAGGTTTAAGAAATATAAAAGGAGCTGAAATTACTTAAAATATAGATTATAGAAAATACTAATAAATAGATGAAATAAATATATTTGCGATGCACAGAAGAACAGATAGTATTGATGAAAGAATATTTGGAAATGGAAAGTAAAACACCAGATTAGAAGGTTGTAATTAATATAAATAACTCTTTGGAATGAAAAATGTATTTCAGCTGAGTATTTTTGCACTGAAAGATATTGGGGCTATAGTACGTTAAATACGTATAGTAATATATTATTAATAATTATTTAGACCATATACTAACACCTATCAAGATAAATAGCACCAGCCATAGTCATATATTTTTGGGGAGGTTATTTATTATTTATTGGATCCCCTTTTACCCACAATGTAGTACAAATTTCATGAGGGTAAGAGTGTCTGTTTTGTCACTATGACAAAGTACTTGGTACTTAGCACATCATTTGTCATATTAAAGGTGCTCAGTGAATATTTGTTACAAGAGTGGCCAGACTGCAAGTTCAGTTGACAGATCTGTGGTTCATTTGAGCCTATTAATCATATTAAAATATTGCACAAATAATGCTTTATAGATAGAAGTGATTACTTTGCTGAAACGGAGGTATCAGATGGCACAGACTGTGCATGGACTGAAAGTATTTATCCATCAGCTGATTATGAAATCTAAACTTGTCACGTGAAAAAGTGATTTAAGACTTTTAAAGCCGGGCGCCGTGGCTCACTCCCATAATCCCAACACTGTGGGAGGCTGAGGTGAGTGGATTATTTGAGGTTAGGAGTTTGAGACCAGCCTGGACAACATGGTGAAACCCTGCCGCTACTAAAAGTACAAAATTTAGCCTGGCATGGTGGTGGATGCCTGTACTCCCAGCTACTCGGGAGGCTGAGGCAGGAGAATCACTTGAACCCAGGAGGTGAAGGTGAAGGTTGCAGTGAGCCGAGATTGTGCCACTGCACTCCAGCCTGGGGGATAGAGTGAGACTCTGTCTGAAAAAAAAAAAGGAAAAAAAAAGAAAAAAGAAAAAAGACTTTTAAGTCCCAACTTGGCATATGAAAAATAAAAATGATTTGAAAGAGTAAACTACAATGTTTGAAAATGTAAATTTTAAATCAGACTGTATCATTGACGATCACCTGTGGTTGAAGCAAGTGATAATAAAGGCCTGGTGTATAGCATGAGATTGGGAATAGTCTCATGAATAAAACTGGTGGGTCACTGGGATTGGCAGCTAGAGAAAAGGAGGAGAAGAGACAGAAGATTCTAACCTGGTTAAGTTTGAGGTTAATGGTGCCATTGACTTTTCTAGGCATAGAGGAGAAGAAATATATTTGAGGATAAATTATGAAATCCACTTGGATACTGGGCATGGTGGCTCACACCTATAATCCCAGGACTTCAGGAGGCCATGGTGGGGATGGATCACTTGAGGCCACGAGTTCCAGACCAGCCTGGGCAACATGGTGAAACCCCATGTGAAAATACGGACACACACACACACAGACACACACCATTAACCAGGTGTGGTGGCTCATGCCAGTAGTCCCAGCAACTCAGGAGGCTGAGGCACCAGAATCGCTTGAGGTGGAGGTTGCAGTGAGTCGAGATTGTGCCACTGCACTTCAGCCTGGGCAACCGAGTGAGACTCTGTCTCAAAAAAAAAAAAAAAAAAAAAAAAGACAAAAACGAAAAATGTATTTGGGATGTACTGACTTTGAGGTGCTTATGGGCATTCTATTGTCAAAATTATTTATTTATTAGTTTATCCAAATTTTGCTGCTCACTTGCTGAAACTTTTACTCACACTAGAGAAAGAAAAAAATTGCACAAAAGCACCTTTTGATCATCTTTACTAAATGCAGGTTGTTATGGAACAATTCTTAATCTTAGTCTAAAACCTATCTTCTGCAGGTAATACATAATGGACTTTTTAAAACAAACTGATTTTCAGATGTAACGCCACAGATAACACAAGATTAAGCATCCATTTCTTTTTAAAGTTAATCAGGTTTCAATCTTCAGGGGAAATTAAGTTTCCTCTTCACTGGGTAGATTAGAAAATGGTGAGTTATTTTCTAAATAAGAAGGATCAAATTAGTCAGTTTTGCTGCACCGGGAAATCCAGCTCTCATGGGATAGTTGTGACCCTGAAAGTAGGTTATCCTGGAGACGAGGGATCAGGTGTAACTAAGTGAACAACAGCCAGCCTCCATCCAAGCAAGAGCCCACACTCACAAAGAAGGAACAGTTGCTGATGCCTTTACGGCAAAGGTAAAAAAAAAAAAAGAAAAAAAAGCATTTTAGATGTATATTAATTTACTTAATCCTCATAACAACTCTGAGATATTATCATGCCCATTTTACAGACGAGCAAATGGAGGCACAAAGAGATGAAATAATGTGGCCAAGGTTACATGCTAGTAAGTTGCTGATCTGGAATTTTAACCCAGAAAGTCCTGTCTCCAGTGTCTATGATTTTACCCACTACACTATACTTCTTAAGCATGTCAAGAAAGTGAGAACTTTAAGTTGATTTAATTAGACTAACTCTGAAAGTCTGAAAATAAAATTGATTCATTGGAAATTTTCATCAGCCCTTATTTTGGGGGATATTCAATTTAGTGAAATTTAATATTTCAGTAAAGGTTAATTCACTACATAAAACAATGTGATTTTTTTCCTTTGAAGCACAGTTTAGTATTGTGATCAAGATTTCCCTGAATCTCCCAGCGGTCTGAATTGGGGTACATCACTTCACTACCCCTTGACTCAAATTCCGTATTTATAAAACAGGTAAATATTGGTATTACCTTTTAAGAGTGTTGTGAGGATACGCAGCTATTTTTTAAAATCAGTTAAAGCCTTTAAACAGTAATTATAAGCATTTGTCATAATTATGCCTTTGTTAGACTTCTAGGTCAATGAATCAGAACATTTAAATCCCAATGTTTGATTACAAAATCTGGTAACAGATGGGTGAAAAGGAACCTAGAATGGGTTTACTCTCCAGGAATTCACATTTAACTATTCTTTCCAAAATCCCCTCTATTAACTCCTGTTCTATGAAGTGATAGGAAAAGATGAGGTATTAATTTTCTTTCTTAAATATTTGAAGGCATAGTTGGTGTTGGTGAAGGGAGATGAGGAAGACAGATGTACTTTCTTATGAGATATTAAAACCTGGAAGACAATAAAAACGCAGATCAAATAATAAAAAGCGTTACCTATGGCGGAAAAGGAAGTTCAAATGTTCTTGTCAGGGGAAAATGAGGACACAAAAACTGAAAGAGGGCACAAAACAATTGCAGGGGTGATATGCATTAGGATTGTTAGGGATAATTTCTGCGCCCAACGCTCTTATTAGTAATGAAATACGGTGTGAGGAGCTGAGATTCGTTCTGCAGTCTCAAAGTGTCAGTCGGAAAGTAATCCCTCCCTTGCCATAGAAACAGAACCGAACTGGCAGCGCGATTACACCTAAGACAAGCTGCAACCTCATTTCCGTGTAGGCACGCCCCTTTTACCTCAACCACGCCTCTTCATTCCCTAAGCACTTCGTAAGCAAAGGGAATATCGCGAGAACCCTATATTGTCTCTCTTCTGACGTTTTCAGCCATGATAGTCGCTTTTGTTCTCGCGGTATTTCCGGGTACGCGGGAGCCCCGGCGACCCGGGCTTCTGTGAAACATGGCGGTAGGCTGGGACCGTAACACAAGGTAAAATACTGAAACCCCGCTGGATGCTGTTCCCTGAGTTGTTCCAGGGCTGCTTAGGGCATAAATGCAGTTGAGGGAACAGGGAGCCTGTCATGGGCTTGGCTTCCTGTCTTCATTGATCGCTGGAGAGCGGGTCGGACGGAGAAGCCTCTCCACCTCCCCCGGGGGCGGTACTGGCAGGACTCTAGGCAAAGATGCTACTGGGAGCTTCCCTTTGCCAGGACCGGGTGCTCGTGTGCTGTCTTGCAACTCGAAGGAGTTCAGGTGCTTCCTCGATAGCCCCTGGTTCTGACCTTTTGCTTCTCACACTGCGCGGTTCCCCGGTGGCTTCTCCAGTCCGCAGGCGGGTAGGATCCCAGTCGGTCGAGTCTCAGTCCTCCCGGATGTCAGACTCCCTACCCCCATTCAGACAAATACCACATTCGTGGCAGCACGTTGCCCTCTGTCTCATTTTTAAGAGTCTTGGCCTCGCCTGAAAGGAGTTTCGCACAGTGCCTCGGAAAATGAGAAAGGGGCAGGAGAGGGCGAGATGCTGAGAGACAGGTACGACTGTCACTACTTTTCCCCCGCACAGAAAACCCTCCGAAGGCAACGTGTCAACTCGTGGTGAATAGCCTTGGTTATCGGTAGTATATAGAGTTGACAGGTCGTTGTTTGAGAAAACACGTTTAAATAACTTTGATATTTTAGTGCACCCGAGACTTGAAGACAAAGTGACATAATAGCTGTTAAAATGTTGCCAGACTGGTTTTCAGAAGCAATGAAAGTTACAGTTAAAAAGAGGATTTATTCATTTGAAGTTGTAATTCAGTATTTCAGTTAATTGCCTAGCCTGATACATTGGACTGTAGTATACCGCAATTATAAAGAACGAAAAAAGACTTATGGTTCACTGAAAAAAGACTTATGGTTATTTACCTAATTTGTTTGCTGATATCTTTAAGTTGTAATTATGCCAGTTCTAGTGGAAAACATGAGGGAAAAATTTCTGTTTTTGTGGGAGGGTGGGGGTTGGCGGTGCAGGGATGGATAGAGAGAGGATGATTTTTTTTTTTTTTTTTTTTAATAATAGTGAACTTTAGCGTACAGTTGCGTGTTATAATGGCTTCCTGGTACAAATCATAAAAATATATCAAGTTTGAAAGATCTCTCGAAGGAAATCAGGCCTATTCTGGAACAACAACAGTTGGGGAAACAACAACAACAACCCACACATTTCCTTTCTTTGGGGGTTGATGATTTAAGTGAAAGAAGTGGCTTTTTTTTTTTCTTTACTAGAAGTTACTTTTAGGCAGTCAATGCCTGCTAAAAATCCTATTTAACAGTTTCCCAATATTTATTATAATTCTGCCTCTTAATGTCATAGTGGTCAAATTATTTAACCTCTCTGTGCCTTCGTTCCCTCATCGGCCAAATGAAATAATAATACCTAACTTATAGGAAGGTTGTGAGGATTAAATGTGTTGAAACATACGAAGCATTTAGAACAATAACTGGCACACAGTAAGCACTCTGTGCATGTTAGCTCTTGTTATTTTTTATTTTCATTTTCTAACATCTGTAGTTACAAATGTTGCCTTGTTACTTAGTCAAAATGTAGACTGAAGAAGATACTGTTTAAAGTAATATCTTTCTGAACCGCAGATTAATTAAACGCTCTGATTGGTGTGGTTAATGTGTCCTTAAATGCCCATCATCCAGTTGCTTGTTTTCTTAAATTATTATCCTCTTTTAATAACAGAAGCGTAAGTTCTTCCTTTCTACTGCTCTGTGTAGTCACATCGTAGTGTGGCTCAGATCTACCCTCTGAGTGCCTTGTTCACCCCCATACTCGTTGCTTTTGAGAACATTCATTCTGTTGCAAATATATTTCATGTGTCCCTGACCTTTTCCTTAACACTTTTTAACTTTAATTTTCTATACTTTTATTGAGAGCTACTAATCTAGAACTAGTTCCTCTAGAACTAGAAATAATCTAGTTCTTTGAGGAGGATGGTATTTGTCCTTGCTTCACATTGCTTCTAGGCACTTTAAGAGTATTCTATTATCACTCTATAGTCTCTCTTAACTTTTAGTCTATCAGTTCATGCCATCCTAACTTTAGGAGATTATCAACTAATCTCAGATAACTCTCCCACTTTCCTCAAAGAGTTTAACAACTAAATCTCAAATATCCTACAAATCTTTGCTTTTTTTCAAAGAATTAGAAATAGATATTACATGCCTCATTTTTATCTTGATTAAACACTGTGAGGTAGCCATTATGTCCTGCTCCCCATCTTTTAAAATAAAATTATAGAGAGAGGATTCTGAGAAGTTGAGGATCTTTCCACACTTGTCACACAACTAGTAAGTGCCTAGGTAATCAGGGTTTTCTGATTATAAACTCACATTTATATTGTCTTCCTTGGCTTCCAAGTAAACCTTTTTGTCACTTAGAATGTCATTAGATTTATTTGAATTATGTTGCGGTAAACAAATATAACGTTTAACTCTGTTGTAAAAGGTCCAAATTTTAAGGTAAAAGTAAGTACAATTGAGGGGGGTGGGGGGTTGCTATCTAGTATTTGTAAAGCAAAGCTAAGCTATCTTATAAAATGTTTTTTATTGTAAAGTATTCTAATGCAATATGATCAAGTAATTTAAAATTACAGATAGGTTTTAGTTTTACCTTTTATTTCTGAAATTCAGTGATAGCCTGAATTATATGGTCTGTATTAGTTTCCTGGGGCTGCTGTAATAACTTACCATAAACTGGGAGGCTTAAACAAAAGACATTTATTCTCTCACAGTTCCGGAGGCTAGAAGTCTGAAATCAAGGTGTCAGCAAGACTTGAAGACTCTAGGAAAGAATCCTTCTTTGACTCTTCCTGGCTTCTGGGCAGTCCTTACTGTGCCTGGGTTTGTAGACACATCACTGTAGTCTCTGCCTTTGTCTTCACATGGCATTTTCCCTTGTGTTTCTGTGTGTCTTCACATGGCCTTCTTAAAAGGACACCAGTCATCAGATTTTGGAGCACCCTGATGCAGTATGACCTCATCTTAATTAGTTATATCTGAAAGACCCAAATATTTCCAAATAAGGCCCATTCATAGATACCAGAGGTTGAGACTTCAACATACCTTGTTCAGCATATCAAGATGTGAGTTAACACAGTTCAGACCGCACCTTGGCCATGTGTATTAACCAATTAAATTTTTCTCATATTGCCGAATATATATTAAAAATAGAAGTTAACTCAAAACTTGGGTAGCAGGAAATAACTTTTGTCTTCATTTTTCTTTGGAGAAGTAATTAAACTTAATTGGGAGACTCTAAAAAGTTCATGAATTCTGTATTTTAATTTTGGTAAAGCATCTGATAGTCTCATTATATTCAGATGGATACAATGATGAAGTATAGACTGTGTGACTTTACTTACACTGAGTGTTGATAATGTCTGTGTTCCAACATGAAAGGTAGTCTCTTATGTCTTAAGAAGTTTTTCAAAATACAGTCACCCCTCCATATCTGTGGATTCTGCATCTGTGGACTCAACCAATTGCAGACTGAAAATATTCAAAAAGGAAAAATTGCATGCCTACCGAACAAGTATTGTGTCTATACTGAATACTTACAGACTCCTTTCTTTTCATTATTTCCTAAACAGTACAACTATTTACATAGCATTTACATTATATTAGGTTTTATAAGTAGTCTAAAGATGATTTAAAGTGTACAACAGGATGTGCATAGGTTATATGCAAAAACTACACCATTTTATGTCAGGGACTTGAGCATCTGAGAATTTTGATACCCAAGGGAGGTCCTGGAACCAATACCCCATGGTTACTGAGGGACGACTGTCTTGTCTTAGCTCCAGCTGTTTTCAGTGACTTTCTGGAGTTTATTTATGTTTGTTTTGTTTTTTAATATTCAAGGCAGTTTAAGGAGAGACATCAGAGAAAACAGACATAGTACTGGAGATTGTCAAGGTGTGAATAGCGGCACCAACCAGTGGTCAAAGGAATCTGATCTAGAATTACATTTTTTAATTTTGCTGAATAAAGACAGCCAAAAACTAAACAACCTCTGTTATATCTGTTTTATCATTTCATAAAGGAAAGGCTGTTTTGACACAAAAAGGAAGAAAATAATCTCACAATAAAGGACACATTTTAAAATTGAATAAATTTAGCTTTAAAAGTTCTTTTCTACATTATCTGTGACTAGAAAATTTTGTCACAGAACAGCAATGATTTCTGGCAAGGATTGATGATCTGAGGTATTTCCAAACACATTTTTGAAACTGGCTTACCACACTGAGTAGAGAGGCAAATAGAGTGGGAATGGGAGCAATGAAATTGGGTATCTGGTAGGATAAAAAGGATTTGAGAACACCAGTGAAAATGAAGGGCAGATTTATCTTAGGAAAGAGTTTAAAGGATAGTTCCTACTGAGGGAAGTCAGTGTGTTTTGGAGTTTAGAGGTGGAACAGTTTTAAGGGTTGACCTTGCTCATGGGTGGCTTTCCATAGAATTAAGATGGAGATCACAAGAGTAGAAGCGCTTGTGGTAAAAAGGTTTTATTGTGAATGAATGCTATAGGATGAATGCCATCGGAGCATGAATTCCAAAGGATGATAATGGAATGGGGGAGAATCATATTGAATGATCTGGGTGCTGAAGTCATTAAGGAAATTATGAATATATTCAGACGTTAATGGAATATAGCAACAAGTATGGAAGTTAGTCAGTGTGCACTGTGGTTTGGAGCATAGTTTCAAGTTCTACCACCTGCTATGTAACCTGGGAAAATTATTTGACAGTTCTGTGACTCATTTCCTCATCAGAAAGTGGGATTAAAAATAGTATCTGCTTCACGGTTGAGAAATATGGTAAAACATGACACTTCTGTAACCTGTGAGTCTCAGAAATGAGTAAGGATTGGAATGGAACTGCCACCAACAGAAAGTCAGGTTTTATAAAGAGAGCAGATAGAGCAATTTCTTTTAGAAAAGCTAGAAGTTATTGGATACCTTGTTTATGCCAGACAGTGACTTTTACATTAGGCTGGCAAGTATTCAAAAGGGAATGAATTTCTTGGGGGTGGGTTAGTGCTGAGCTTTCAGGAATGGGACTGGTGGAGTAGCTGAGGGTTAGGGTGCTCCATGCTAGAGTGATATCCACTGGAAAATAGGGATGAACGAAGCTAGAGATGTGTAGGGAGCCACATAATATATTCTAGCTAGACTTTCAAGGGAGGCGTGTTGAATAGGTTGTATGTATTATTAGGAGATTAGTAAAACTAGCTGCTTGTATATCTTCATCCTTATATATAAATTAAAAGAGCATTTAGAAAGCTCATTATACAAATATAGCATTATAGAAACTTTTAGAAATATAATTCACTGTTTTATTCATTTAACAGTGTTATACTGACTATGTGATGGCTACTGTTCTAGGTCCTGGGACAGAGGACAACAGAAAAATCCTTCTTGTGGATCTTATTTTTATTTTTATATATTTGCTTACCTAAGTATGACATACTGCTGTGATTTGAAAGCTGTGCTTCTGTGGTGTTTCTGGGAAATTTTCCTTCCTTCCTTTTCTCATAAATGTTGAATACCTGTTTGCTAGGCATTAGAAATACAAAGATCAAGTTAGACATGGTTCCTGCTCTAACAATCCAGTGGGGGGAACAGAAAAAGAAGCAATTAGAAATAGTGTGATAAAGGTACAACGTTCTAGAAGCAGATAGACTTTGAAGACCATGCAAAGGTTTTTTGTCCCCCTGCTCGCTCAAGGTAGAAATGAGTAGACTGGGCCTTGAAGAGTAAGTAGGGGTTAGTCAAATGTAGAGCTGGGGTAGGGGGAAGAAAAAATATTTCTGGCAGAGAGAATAGCATATTTAAGGAATTGAAAGTGATTTAGTATGGTTGGAACATAGACTGAGGGATTGGATTTGAAGAGAGGTTAGCAGGACCTGGTGTTTGAAGGGCTTTGTAAAACATGTTAGGATAGAATCCAAGCTCTTAAGTGTAGTGGGAAGGGAAGTTTTACAAAGATTTGAAGAGAAATATTACATGATCAGATTTATGTATTAAAAAGATGATTATTATAGTATATAGAGAGAATTGGAAGGTTGAAGATTAGAGGTTGTTGAAGCAATGTAGTGATAGATTGTGGCAGTTGGGACTGGGAATGTACTTGGACATAAGGAATTTCTTAGTGGGCCTGAAGAAGAGAAGACAGGCAGATTTAAGAGAAATTTAGAAATAGCTTAAGTCTAAGGCTGTAACCCATGTTTCTGGCTTGTGTAGTTGAGCTTATGGTGTTATCACTAAGATAGGAGATACAGGAGGAATAATTTTGACAGGGTAAAGTATTCATTTTTGGACTTGTTGAGCCTGAATTGTGTTTGGAATGTCCAAATGAAAAGGTAACAGAAGGCAGGGGGTTATACATATCTGCAGAGAGATTTGGGCTGAGAGTCAAGATTTGGGAGAAATCAACATGCAGATTGAAATGGAAGGAACGGGCCATCATTTGGGGAAGGTGTGGAGGTTAAGAGGGGGACCTAGTGCAGAATCTTGAGAGGAAGATGAATCTGCAAAGTAAGCCAAAGAGGGTCTTCCAGGTAGAATGAAAATCAGGAATGTGATATCACTTAAGAGAGTATTTCAAGAAGTAAAAGAAGTGATAAGCAGTGTATTTTCTCAGAGGTGTAGTTAGATAAGGACTGAGGAGTGTCTGTCAGTTAGTACTAAGGAAGCTAATTACCTTGCTCAGAGCAAATTTAGTTAAGAGGTGAGAGTTGGGTGAGGAAGTAGTCACAGTAGATGAATGGGGACAACTCATTCTTTTAAGTTGGCTGTAGGTGTGCTGCCAGAGATGTATTGTTGGAGTTGGACTTGTCTTTAAGGGAGAGTTCTGTTTTAAAGAGAAGAGACATACAGATATTTAATATTTTACTCAAATCAGAAAAAGTAGAAATTGAAAGATTGAAGAAGGGTCAGTTTTTGTGCAATTACTACTAAAAAGGTACAGAAAATAAATTTGATTATCAGCTAAACAAGCTTAATGAGCATGGTATATACATAGCAAACATTCAGAAGCTTAATTTATCAGTGGGAATACCAGTTTTATAACTGACATGGGGGTCAGAAACTGTCATCTGTTTTGTCTACATCATCTGTTTTTTTCTTTAGAATACTAAGTGCATGAGAAAAAATCGTAATTCGAAGGCTGCTTTGTGAGTGTGGAACCAGCAAGGGAAGTTTAGTTGGGTGGCTTTAATGGCAGAGGAAATCAACATATTAATGCTTTCAGCTCCACTTTAGAGTAGTAGCTCCCTGCTGGACTGATAAGTAGAGCTCCTGGTCAGAACTTCGTTCTTTTAGACAGTATTCATGTTTACTGCCGGTTTTTCATTCTCTGGCCCTTCTTTTTCTTTATGAATGTTCTTTCTTTTGCCTGTTCTTTTTATATTAATCCTACCCATTAGATTTCAGATCCAGAGTCTGTCTGCTCTCTTCCAGAGACATTATTTCTCTTACAGTGACTTCTGCAACTGTATAATTTATTGTATTATGTGTTGATTTTATTAATAAAGCCTTGATTACTGGGAATTCTTTATAATATTACCTATAGTATTATTTATAAATCAGTTATAAAAATTATGTAAAGATCTAAGATTTCAGTTATTTGATTGGCTTTATAACAATTTTAGATGTAGATGACATACTGATAAAAAGGGAATAGCAAGCAGCCAATTTTTAAATAATGTTTTGATTATAAAAATAGATAACATGGTAAATCTGAAGTTATATGTAAGCAATTAAAATTCATGATCTACTTTTAACATTTTTGTGTATAGATGTTCAGTTTTGTTTCTTATATATCGTTTCCTGTCTCCCATAAAATTGGAACCCATGTGACCTTGTAGTCTTTTCATGTTGTATCATGACTATTTTCTTATATCATTAATTTTTTTTTTTTAATAAAAGATTTCAGGCCAGGTGTGGTGGCTCACGCCTGTAATCCCAGCACTTTTTTTGGGAGGCCGAGGTGGGTGGAAGGCTTCAGCCCACGAGTTTGAGACCAGCCTGGGCAACATGGTGAAACTCTGTCTCTACAAAAAATACAAAAATTTGCTGGGGGTGGAGGTGCATGCCTATAGTCCCAGCTATTTGGAAGGCTGAGGCAAGGAAGGATTGCTTGAGCCAGGGAGGCTGAGGTTGTGATGAGCTGAGATCATGCCACTGCACTCCAGCCTGGGTGACAGAGCAAGATCCTGTCTCAAAAAAAAAAAGATTTTCAATGGTTACATGAAGATGCATTTCTTCACCTTAATTTGTACATTGGATACCATGGGTTTGTTTCTGTCTTCAGTATTTAAAAATAACACTGTGAGAAATATCCTCATAATCAAATATTGGTTAAAACCCCAGGTTATTGTCATAGGATACATTCCTCAGCGGGCATTTACTTAGAAGAGGAGTGGTAAATATTTTCTTCTTCTTCTTTCTTCTTTCTTCTTTCTTCTTCTTTCTTCTTCCTCCTTCCTCCTTTCTCCTTCCTCCTTCCTTCTTCTTTCTTCTTCTTCTTCTTATTTGAGATGGAGTCTCACTCTGTAACCCAGACTGGAGTGCAGTGGCACAGTCTTGGCTTACTGCAACCTCCGCCTTCAAGTGATTCTCCTGCCTCAACCTCCCAGGTAGCTGGGACTACAGGCACGTGCCACCACACCTGGCTAATTTTTTGTATTTTTAGTAGAGACGGGGTTTTGCCATGTTGACCAGACTGGTCTCTCAAATTCCTGACCTCAGGTAATCCACCTGCCTCTGCCTCCCAAAGTGCTGTAATTACAGGCGTGAGCGACCATGCCCGGCCTATATTCTTGTTAGTAATGTATGAGCAGGCCATTTTACTTCACTGTCATTCATTATTGGAAGTGTATTATTTTTATATAGTTTTTGGTTTAATAGAAAACGTTACCTTAATTTGTGTATTTAGACATTATTAATGTGATTTAATTACCTTTCACTTTTTTCTTGCTATTTAATATGTTTTTGTATTTAAATTGCCTTCCATTAGTAGTTTTTGTCAGGGCATGAATGGGGAAAGGATTAGTGTGGATAAATACTATGTTTTTTTTAAGGGGGGGATGAGAATGCTAAGTTGTTGTAAGGACATTTGTCAGTTATCCTCAATTTAAAGATATTAAAAAAGAGAAATTTTTTCTCTTTAAAGGATTCATTTATTCATTAATTTATTTATTCCTTAGCATGACTATATGAAGGAAGAGGAGGGTTTTCCTGAAGATGAGGCGACTGAATCGGAAAAAAACTTTAAGTTTGGTAAAAGAGTTGGATGCCTTTCCAAAGGTTCCTGAGAGCTATGTAGAGACTTCAGCCAGTGGAGGTACAGGTGAGTATCAGTTCACATTAAAAGTGTTGTAGTAAGTACAACTTCTGAGTGATCCAATCAACAACATATAGAAATGTAGCCATGAGGTAGAATTTATCAGTGAATTCTGTAGTAACTTCGTAACTTGTCTGTCTTCATGCCACTCTATTGGCTCTCACTTATTCTTATTAATATTCTTTATAGCTTCCAACTCAGTGCCATCTGTGCCTTTGGCAGTGTTTATTAAAACTTAATACATTAAACCAATGTTACTGCTTTGCTGTCCTTTCCTAAATATGTGACCTTGAGGAAGTTATTCAAATCTATCTATCTTAGTTTCTTCTATGAAATAGGAATGATACTAGTATTTACCTCCTAGGGGTTACCGTACTGTTAATATTTTCATAAAATGCTTAGACCCAGTGCTTGGTACAGATAAAAGTATCCATTAAGTAAAATAAATAATGAAATATATAAGAGAAATGTGTAACTATAACAATATTCCGTATAATTTCTTTTCCCATGAAGAGCTAGTAAAATAATGTATTTCAAATTAGGTTGACATTTTATTTTGTAAAATGGGTAATAAGTTGCTTACTATTTCTGATTCACTTGTGATTAAGTTTTGTTAATGAAAATAGTGCAAGTTCTTGCAAAATCTATTTTAAGTATTTTGCTGTACTATATAATGTATTTTCTTTTTGTCAGATCTTTTACTCAGTTCTGTAAATGAGGTGATATATTTAGGAGATTGCAAAGTAGAAGAGAGTTTTGTTAGCTACTTAGAGATGTTATTTGAGTTTCTGGCACACAGATTGTTGTGGTTTCTCAGGATCTGAGAAATTAGGCTAGCTTTTTATTTTAAATTGGGCTTATAGCCCAATTTACATACATTGATATACAATTTATATTTATAGACATAGATGCATTTTTAATAACGAAGCAACTGTTTCCAAATTTGTACTATAAGGCATGCTTACTTTCATCATTTATCCTATCAGTGACACTGCTGTATATAAGAAAATACAAATTTTGTCAAATCTACTTAGTGAGAGATGCCCTTAAAATTGGAGAAATAAAATGCTTTCTTAGTAGTGCAAATGATTATGTTCATATTTGTGTATATTAAACCTTAACTTTTGAGCTGTATTAGATAAAATGTATAATAAACATTTTGAATAAAAACCTTCTATAGTATTCATTCAAATAGAAATTACATTATTAGGCTTTTTCTTTTGAAAATTTAATCTCACTTAAATTAGTTTCCTGTTCTTTGCTTTTTTTTTTTTTATTGTTTTCATTCTGTTTTTCTTTTGTTGTTGGATTTCCCAGTTTCTCTAATAGCATTTACAACTATGGCTTTATTAACCATAATGGAATTCTCAGTATATCAAGATACATGGATGAAGTATGAGTACGAAGTAGACAAGGATTTTTCTAGGTAATCATTTTTTTTCTTCTTGAAATACCTTTAGATTCAAATTGTTTTAAAAAGAGCGTACCTTTTAAAAAAGAAAAAGTATAACCTTCTAGATTTGGTTTGTTTTAGTTCTGAAGAAATCATCCTGAAAAATTCTCATTAATTGCATGCATTAAGTGAAACCTTTTAGAATCATTTAAATAGTGGTTGAATTCTAAAACTGAGGTTCTTTGATTTAGCATGCTTTGTTTCAGAAAGTTAGGGGAATATTTTTCCTTAGATATGTATATTGTGGAAATTGTTTAATATTTTAAACTGGTTGAAATACCTAACTGATCTGTGTGAGCTGGAAAATAAATTATCTAAGGATACATTGTATACCCTTATGACTTGATATCTATAAATTATACCTAAGCTAAATGTTTATGCAAATAAGATTACTTTTAAACTTTTGAAAATATAGTACCTTAATCATACACTTTACATCTATTCATTTGTATTATTTGGATTTCTTCAATAGAATGAAGATAATAGGTTTCTAATATTAAGATTGTACCAAATAGGAAGACACATTTAGTTTTCAATTACAATCCAGGTTTGCCATTTACATACTTTTAGGGAACTTACTAAATCTGTACCTGTGTATGCTTCAGTTTCCTTTTTTGTAAAGTACAGACAGCAATTATAGTATCTTCCTCAAGAGGTTTATGAGAATTAAATTAGTCAACATTTGTAAATTGCTGTGTAACCTTGGGCAGGTCACACCACTGATTTCTTTTGGACTTCAGTTTCTTCATCTCTAATGTATTATTCAGGATAGCATTGGTTTTCAAAGAGTTTGCTATTGTTTTCAGCACCAATGCAATACTTCATTTTATTCCAAATGAAGTCTTATGTATTACATAGTTCGCCACATAAGCATGGTGAGGATATGCGGAAGCTTGTCTACTTGGCCTACTCCTGGTTCCTAATCTCCTGAGCCTAAACTCCTGGGTTATTTGGAGCACAGTTTGAACTCTAGATGACTTTAAGACTTTATGAAGGTCTAAAAATCTGTAATTCCTTTTTTAAAATCAGATGAAAATTATTACACAGAAAAAAGTTTTGATAGAAAGCATGGCATTGAATTTGATCATAGCCAGTCTGTTATTCACTGTGCTTCATTCTGGTATTCGAAAATTGATTTGATCAAATCATTTGAAAATGAAAGGCCATGAAAAATTTTAAGCATCAGGTGATTTACTTTTGGTAGTTTGGTTGCATTTATCCTGAGTTACATAGACCTAGTTTCCAGTATAGCACTTTAATGGTGATGTGATCTTAATCCAGGTATTTATACTACCCTGAACACTAGTGGTTTTCTTGAAAATCTGTGAAGCCATCCATGTATAGCTCCATGATATGGAATAAAGAAGATAATATTTGTAGGACATCTAGCATCATGCTTAATATATGGTATTTGATAAACAGAGAAGAAAGACAATTCCTAATTCTTGATTTTGAGAGTTTTACATTCTTAAAGGAACATTCTATCGAAAGTTTATGTAAATAGAGGTTAAGAGGTTAAGACTTTTTTCTGGCTTGCTTAGAGTTATTGATTATAGAGTTGCCATTATTAAAGGATACTGTGTTCAAAACCTGTGAAGTCAGAAGGGCTTTTGGAATAAGGGCAAATAGAACTTGTACTTTAAAGAGCCTTTGTTTTGGCCATGAGAAATGCAATTCAAGTTCTAATCGACATAATTCTACTTGAAATCCAAGTTTTTAATAGGTCAGTTGATTTATATTTCTCATGGTTTGCTGATTAATTGGTAGGTACTAATGTTTAATATTTTGTCTTTCAGCAAATTGAGAATCAATATAGATATTACTGTTGCCATGAAGTGTCAGTGTAAGTACACCTTCAACTTGCTGAATCCACATGTAGGTTATGGTTCAAACAATTGCCAATCAAAAATAAAAACCACTGGTTGTACTTTATTTTTCCTTTATAATATTTTAAAGTTTTACTGTGATATTATTTAATAATGTAAATTGTCTTACTTCTCAGCTTATATTCTTCAAGTGTCTTTTCCATAAAGAGAAGAGATAAAACTTTCACATTAGTATAATTAAAAGAAAGTTGGAGGAAATGTTTATGAATCAGCTTTCTAGTTTATGTACATGCTTTCTGTCTTTTTGTTTGGAGTACTAGCTTTTATACCCATGTTTCACAAGCATATCCTCATGTCACTGTTTCAGTTTACGACCCTTTATGTTTACTCTTGTGTTTAAAAATACAGATCCAGTTTTTTTAAGTTAATGGTGATAGGTTACCCTTTTTTTTTCTTCACTGGACTCACTTGGTTTTACTAGTAGAAGTGGAACAATGCTAATATGCCACATAGTGAATGTTTGAATCAATACTGTTTTCAAAAATAAGGATGCTTTTGCATGAAAAATATTTTATGAGTTACTGCTTAAATATTACAGACCAAGAACTCAGAAAATTTTTACATTTTTAGAAGTATGAAATAATTTTACCCAATTAATTAGAGGTTATTTTCTGTGAGATTTCATCTCAGAATGACCTTGAATCTTTTCTTTTCAATATAGTTTTCCTTATGTTAGTGGTTTTAAGAGATTAAAAAAAACTTTATATTTAAACTTGTAGTTAGTGGTAATTCTGAATATATGATATTCTGCCTTATTTTGGATGTTTGCATACTGTTAAATTTTAGCCTTTTCCAAATAAAATTTCCTATTTGTTGATTTGTAGCTTTGCTTTAAGATTTCTTTTAATCTCTAAAAATATTTCTAGGAATTAATATTTTGTTCAGCAGCCACTTAGTACTTGTGATTAAGTTCTTGCCAGTATTTGCAAAGATCTTCAATTCAGTAACGCTTATCCTTTTTAAATGAGATCTTGAATTATCTTTTTTTTTTTACTGGGTAAGAAGTAGAAAAAACATTATTACATTTTGGAATAATCTCCACCAAAGCTATATAAGGCTACTTTTAGCTTTTGGACAAATATATAGGAAGTGATTCTACATACTTGGTGAGTTTTTTTTGTTTTTTTTGGTTTTGTTTTTGGCTTGGTGAGTTTTCTGTTAGTTGTCGTAATTTGTTTATATTGGGGATGGTTTGCCGCCAAGCGTAGAATGTAAAACTTCTAATTCTTTTCCGTATGCAGATGTTGGAGCGGATGTATTGGATTTAGCAGAAACAATGGTTGCATCTGCAGATGGTCTAGTTTATGAACCAGTAAGTTTGATTCACATGGTTTTTTGAAATACATGGGTTGAGGAATTGTACCCTCGAAGACAGTTTTGATAGTTGCTTTTTAGTTTTGTCTGAAATAGTTTTTAGTATAATTCTTTTGTTTCAAAAGTAATCCATATTCTTTATAATAAATTTAGGGGGAAAAACAGAAAAGTTAGGTTATATACCAGAATCTTGAGGTGACCATTATTAACATTTTGGATGTAGTTTGGATGTGTCTAAAGTCTGTTTTATAACCTTTTTTAATATTTTTGTTACTACTTTCCAGTAGTTTCCTTTTCACTTTTCTTCTAATATATATAGTGATGAGCTTTTTTCTTTTTCTCTAGTGATTTGGGCACTTTTATGTCCAGTTTGTATTCTACTATTACCAAATTTAAGTATTTAAAATATTTGAACTGTATTTCTCTTACAGTCAAGAATAAAGCAGTATCTTTCTAAGAGGAGAATGGGCATTACTACTCCCTTCCTCCTTTATGCCTCTATTTCCCACAGTGTGTGAAATGCTGACATTTTCTTATTATCTTCAAAGCACAAGTTGAATATAACATCATTGATTTATCAGAAAATATCTTCACATTTCAGTGGCAGATACGGTGATAACAAGTCATGATCAGAACTAGCCCTAAAGAAGCTTTTGAGAGTAAGCAGGAGGACCTCAGCAACTTTTAGTTGCGGACTGCTCTGTTGGCGTGGTGGTACTTGTATTTACACATGCGTTCTTCAGTTCCTTTTTTTTAAATCATTGACAATTGTGAACCCTTCTTTTAGCAAATTTGCAAAATGAAGAGTGAAGGTGAAGGACGGGGAGTAGAAGTACTGAATGTATGGGGTTAAAGGAAAGAAAATGAAGTCCTTGGCCAGTTTTGATTATTGAATTAATTTTAGTTTACAGCTACAAACTTGATATATGCCTTTTGACATATACATTTTAAATAGAAATTTCTACAGAAGCAGTAACTTTGTTATTGCCACTCTGACTCTACTTTCTGACCCGTTTTGCCACTCAAAAAAAACTGATTTTGAAGTAATTTTTTATGAGCTTAGTAACCTTACAGATTCATAGATGACAGCATACTACACTATTATCTGCTTATTTTGATCTAAGTGATTATTATTAGATACTTTAATATTTGTATTGCATTTATACTATCTTAAGAATACTTATTTAACTTTAACTATTTTTTTTTTAAATTTTCTGCCATTCTTACCTTATTTTGTTTATCATTTTGAAGAGGTACTGTTTTTCCAATTTTTATTTTAGATTCATGGGGTACATGTGCAGGTTTGTTACCTCGGTATATTGTATAATGCTGAGGTTCTCAGGTGTGACTGATCCCATCACCCAGGTACTGGGCATAATAACCAATAGTTTTTCAGCCCTTTCGCTTCTCCCTCCCTCTCCTCTCTAATAGTCCCCACTTTCTGTTATTGCCATTTTTATGTCTATGAGTACGTAGGTTTAGCTCCCACTTATAAATGAGAACATACGGTATAAATGAGAACATATGGTATATGGTTTTCTGTCCTGCCATTAATTTGCTTAGGTTTATTGCCTCCAGCTGCATTCATGTTGCTGCAAAGGATAAAAGTTTGTTCTTTTTTTATGGCTGCATAGTATTCCCTGGTGCATGTATACCACATTTTCTTTATCCCATTTACCATTGATGGGTACCTAGGTTGATTCCATGTATTCGTTATTGTGAATGGTGCTGCAATAAAGATAGGAGTACATGTGTCTTTTTCATATAATGATTTATTTTCCTTTGAGTATATACCCAGTAATGGGATTGCTGGGTTGAATAATACTCTAGTTGTTTGAGAACTCTCCAAACTGCTTTCCACATTGGCTGAACTAATTTACATTTTTACCAGCAGCATATAAGTGTTCCTTTTTCTCCACAACCTCTCTAACATCTGTTTTTTGTTTTTTGGTTTTCTTTTTTGACTTGTTAATAATAGCCATTCTGACTGATGTGAGATGGCCTCTCATTGTGGTTTTGATTTGCATTTCTCTTATGATTAGTAACATGGAGCATTTCTTCATGTTTGTTGGCCACTTGTATATCTTTTGAGAAGTGTATGTTCATGCCCTTTGCCCACTTTTTAATGGGGTTATTTGTTTTTTGCTTGTTCAGTTATTTAAGTTCCTTATAGAGTCTGGATATTAGACCTTTATCAGATGCAAAGTTTGTGACTATTTTCTCCCATTCTGTAGGTTGTCTGTTTACTCTGTTGGTAGTTTTTGTTTTGTTTTCTGTGCTCTTTAGTTTAATTAGCTCCCACTTTTCAATTTTTGTTTTTGTTGCAATTGCTTGTGGGGACATAGTCATAAATTATTTTCCAAGACTGATGCCCACAATGGTGTTTCCTGTGTTTTCTTCTAGGATTCTTATAGTTTAAGGTCATTTAAATCTTTACCCATCTTGAGTTAATTTTTGTATATGGTGAAAGATCTGGGCCCAGTTTCATTCTTCTGCGTATGGCTAGCCAGTTCTCCCAGTACCATTGATTGAATAGGGAGTCCTTTCCCCATTGCTTGTTTTTGTTGATTTTGTCAAAGATCAAATGGCTGTAGGTGTGCAGCTTAATTTCTGGATTCTCCATTCTGTTGAGGAGGGACTTTTTGAGATTTATTTTACCGCAAGAATATGTAGGTATGTTTTATGGATTATAGCATGACTGCCTGTATCTTTCTGCTGTTATCTTTTATTACCCATTTTCTCTGTTGCTCTGAACTGGGAAAATCCCTTTCACATGGGTTTTTCTATCCTATGAAATAAACTTGTTTTGGGCTCTTTCTCAATTTGGTTTCGTTTGTATGTGGTCTTGTATAAATTCATGAAAGTTTCCAACATGTGAATGTTAATTTTAAATGATTTAAGATGATAATAAAGATTGCATCCTCATTTTTATGTTTCTTTTGGACACTGAGAATTACATGTTTCTGTATTATAATCCTGAATGTATCCTCTAAAAGTCACTTACACTGTTAAAGCATTCTGTCCGTATTCTAACTGTTGTGGTCACTCTCTTTTTTTTTTTTTTTGACATTTATGAGATGCCTGATTTTATCTTTTTTTTTCCCCCTACACCTCTTGTCTTTCTAGCTGGATTTTAAGCTTTTGAGAATCATTAATTTCATTCATTCTTCTTTGTAGTTCTCATAAATGTATTATAAAATGCTTTGCAGGTTTTAGGCAATAGTGATATGTTAGAATTATGCAGTTGGGACAGTATTGTTGACTGTTTTCATTGTAAACAGTTTCTGCCATCTCTTCCAGTAGTTTATGGAGCAGGAAGATTTTATTTAAATTGTTATAATTAAAAGTTGTATCTTAATGAGAAAGTTAAGAACTTCTAATTGTTTAATTGTATACTTTTCATCAGTAATATTTAAAGTGTTTAACAATGCTTTTAGGAAACTATTCATTCCTTTGTCCTAATTTATATAAAAGTATTTAAGAATTATTATTTTTAATATAAAATTATTAAAAATGTAATTTTAACTTAAATATTTTTTCATTCATTATTTTAATATGTACTCTGAATATTAAAAACCTAGCCCTGATAACTTTGCTAGTTTACAGGCCATGATCATACAATGTGCTATGATAATTACTATTCTACTATTTCTATTGCATTTAGTTACTATTTAAAGACAAGAAAAAATGTTTAAAGGTGGGAAAGTAAGGAATCTGATAGAGCTGAATTTGTGTATTGGTTGTTACTTACTCTCTGTGATTTTGGAAAGTTTGTAACTTTTTGAGCTCCTGCTTCCTCCTATGTAAAAAGGGAAGAGGAGTAACAAATTCGCCAGGTTGTTAAGAAGGTTAAGTGAGAAAATGAATTAGCATAGGGCCTAGCAAAGTAGTTTCTTTATACCTTTGTGCTAAGTAAACATTGTACAAAGGTTATAGAATTCAAAGGAAGAATCATAGAGTCCCCACTGGCAATCATTTTATTTATACATTAGCTGGAGAGTAACTGCAAACAGCCTTATTGGTGTGTTTTTTAGATGTTAGCATTTTCCTTGTGTGCTATAATGTGAAAAAGGTTTGGTAGCTTGCTTTAGGCAAATTCATCAGGAGGTATAATCAAAGGAAACATCAGAAAGATTGGGACAATTTAACTTGGAGCATATGGTTGTATAAAACTTAGACATGAGGCTCACAGTTATGGGAGAGGCAGGTTCCAGATTGACAAAATTAAATTTAAAAGTCACAGAAGTAGTGCTGTGAACTAGGACTAGAAAAGTGGATTTTTTTTTTTTTTTTTGAAACGGAGTTTCACTTTGTTGCCCAGACTGAGTGCATTGGCAGAATCTCTGCTCACTGCAGCCTCCGCCTCCTGGGTTCAAGCGGTTCTTGTGCCTCAGCCTCTTAAGTAGCTGGGATTACAGGAGCCCACCACTTGCTGATTTTTTTTTGTTTTAGTAGAGACAGGGATTCACCTTGTTGCCCCAGCTGGTCTCGAACTCCTGAGCTCAGGCAATCCACCCATCTTGGCCTCTCAAAGTGCTAGGATTACAGGCGTGAGAGCCACCATGCCCGGCCAAGAAGTGGATTATTGTTGCAAAATTAAATTGTGGATATAGCTACTATGGGAAGTTTGCATATTTTTCTCTGACTCTACAAGTAGCCAAGTCTGACTTTGATCATACCTAGATAAAATTTCTTAAGTAGTTCTTTGTTGATCAATGCATTTGGGAATTACTGTGCTATTTTTGAACTCATTTCAAAAATTGTTGATTTTATTATGGTATTTTACCAGCAAGAATTTGGGCTTTGGATGCTTGAATATAACTCTGTATGTCATTTTCTACCCCAATACTTGTGAATTTCATGCTAGCATCATTTAAATGATTTTAAGCCCTAAGATACCATTTTGTACATGTGATAAATTGTCAACTTGCATATATTCCTGTAAATGTCGATAACTGTAACAGGAAAATATTTGTGATTTGTAAAATTTCTTTATGCTATTTTTCAGTAAAGATAGCACATTTGACTTAGTAGAAGTTGAATGTAAACCATGAATACTTGTTTTTAACAACACTCTAAGTTTATGTTTCTTGCTCAAAGAACAAATTTTAAAATTGTAGTGTAAAAGCCAATATAATTTGACAGTGCTAGTGATTATGTTTTCTTTCATTTCAGGCAGTATTTGATCTTTCACCACAGCAGAAAGAGTGGCAGAGGTAATAAGAGAACAAAGTATTGTGCTCCATGGAAATCTAAGTCATATTTTGTCTATTGTAAACTATTTATGGACTAACACATTTCTCTAGGGATTTCTTTGGATGAATTATTAGCAGAATTTAGTATATAATATAATCTTTACAATTTCAAAAACCGTCAGATCTTAAAGTCATGCATAATCTTTTTTCTGGTAAACTTTGATTCATAAGTTTTAGTTTTTATTTAAAATGATATCAACATTTTTTTGATTACAAAAGTAATATATGATTATTTTAAAAATTCAATTTGAATAGAAATGATGTAAAGCAAGATTGTCCAGCCTGCGGCCCTACAGGAAGGCTTTGAATGTAGCTTAACACTAATTTGTAAACTTTTTTTTTTTTGAGACAGAGTCTCACTCTGTCGCCCAGGCTGGAGTACACTGGTGCAGTCTTGGCTCACTGCAACCCCCGCGTCACAGGTTGAAGCGATTCTCCTGCCTCAGCCTCGTTAGTAGCTGGCGCACACTACAGGCACACACCACCATGCCCAACTAATTTTTTGTGTTTTTAGGAGAGATACGGTTTCACCATGTTGACTAGGCTGGTCTTGAACTCCTGAACTGAAGTGATCCGCCCACTTCGGCCTCCCAGAGGGCTGGGATTACAGGCATGAGCTACTGTGCCCGGCCACAAATTTGTAAACTTTCGGAAAAAATTACGAGTTTTTTGTGATTTTTTTTTTTTTTTTTTTTTTTTTAACTCATCAGCTATAGTTACAATGTGGCCCAGGGAAGCTAAAAGATTGAGCACCTAGATACAAAGTAAATGTAAAAGCCCCCTTCTCTTTCTGCAAACTAATACCACTGATTAGCAGTAATAACCAGTAATAAGTTTCTTGGGTAGCCTTCTAGACAGACATTTTGTGTGTATGTATATAATATGTATATTATATATATTTCTGTGTATATATACAAAATTATAATTCTTACATATAATCTATATAGTATATAATTCTATATAGTTCTGATATATATGAGTATATTATATATATTATAATATATAAGTTTATATGTTCATTATATATTTTATAATATATTTATATATTTTATGTGTTACATATAAAAACATAATTATTTATATATAGAAATATATATACAGAATTAAGTTGCTTTTTTCTACCTAACATGATATTTTGAACTCATTTCTGTATATATAATGGTCTATTTTATGGATAGATTGTAGTTTATTTAATTGGATCCTTATTGATGGGTATTTAGATTGCTTTCAGAATTCTAATATTAAAAACAATACTCAGTGAACATTCTTGAACCTAATTGTGTATATGTTTGTGTGTTTGTGTATTTCTAGAAATAGAATTTCTTTCTCTCAGGATATTTAACATTTTGATAGTGCCTATGTCCTCCCAAATTATTATTTCAGTTATACTCCAAAAGGCTAGAGTGCTTGTTTCTGTACAACCTCACCAACAATGGGAATACCTAGAATTTTAAAAAATATATGCCAGATTGATGGGTGAAAATTGGTACTATGCTTTTATTAATTAACATTTCTTTATGAATCAATTGACTGTCTTTGTGGGTTTTTTTTCCTCATTTATATTTTTTTGTGAAAATGTTTGCCTATATGCCTATTTTGCTGGTTAGTTTTTTTGTAAGAATTATTTTTAAATTAAAGAAAATAGTTCTTTGTTATAAGTGCTTCTGTCTCCCACCCCCCATATATTGCTTTTTATTTTCTAGGTTATGTCTTGCACTTATAAAGGCTTTATATAGTTTAAGATTATTCCAAATTTTTTTTCTTTATCCATTTTTTTTTCCTAGTCCCTAAGTATATTCCAAGGGTCTTTCTCTTTTAATTTCCAGTTTTACCACTTGAGGGAGTTTTTATATGAAAGTTGAAATTGAATGTCGGTGAACAAAAGCACTGAATGTTAGCTGTCTCTGGGCTATTAGAATTTTTAGTTGAAAGCCATCCACAGATGAAATACTTTACTTTGATCCAGAAACATTAAAGTGAGATTTCTCCTTTCATTTAGAATTTTTTTCAATGCTCGAAACTAGTAATAAGTGGGAGAAGAGATTGTATTTCTACTCTTAAGGTGATATAAATTTGCCATCATAGTATTCTCTGCATACCTTCATGTGTGGAATATAGGCTTGGGATATTTATTGACACAGTGAAGGCAGAAATTTTTTTCATAAACACACACATAATACATACATACATATACATGTATGTATAGTTTGTTGTCATCAAACTCCTTGATCACTGCTGTGCTTCAAAAGTTGAACTCTTAATATACAAGACACACAAAAAAATGTGAAGATTTCCATTTCTGCTGGCATTGGATCCAAAGATTTTAAGTCTTCAAATGTCTGAATCTGAGGATGGGATCTGGCTTCTTGAAGCATCCTAGATTATCACATTCTGATTCTAAAATTATTGAATAGCTCTTGAATGGCCTAGAGATAGCCAAGGTTTATATCTTCCTAACTAATGTGCATACCAAAATGTTCTTTACTTCTGGAATTTTCTAAGAGATTTAAATTTTCTCTCAATTGATATTCTATAATACTTTCCTAAAATATTTAGGATCACAGTTAATCTCTCTTTAACTGTAAATTTCAAACCCTGGACAGAACCTTTCTGGTTTCTACTTTTTATGTCTAGATTTCGGATTTATTTTATTCCAAACTATACAGTATAAATATAACTTGTTATTTTAAATAGGCCTGTTTTACTAATTTTCTAGATAGATGATGTGTGAGTTTTTAATCTTCTGCTTGCACATCTGGAAAGTGCTTTTTTTATCATTATGGTGGGATGGTAAAGTATTATGAGATTTACAATTGCTTTCTTTTTGTGAGTACCTATGTTTATAACTTTTTTCCAAGTTATATATATGTATTTTTCTTTTAGAGTAGTTAGACTCACAGCAAAATTGAGCAGAAAGTAGTGTTCTCATATATCCATCCCCCTATGGGTTCCTCCATTATCAACATCTTGCATCAGGTTGGATATACTTGTTATAATCAGTGAACCTGTGTTGATACATCATCACCATAGTTTACATTAGAGTTCACTCTTGGTGTTGAACGTACATTCTGTGAGTTCTGACAAATGTATAATGACATGTATCTACCATACTGCCATACAGAATGATTTCACTGCTATTAGAATTATCTGTGCTTCGCTTGTTTATTCTTCCCTTCCCACTGTGTATAATTTTTGTACTTACCAAGTTTGAACTTTACTACAGATGACTTGGAATATAAGTTATTTAAAGAAATAGAATTAAAAGAGATAAAATAGTACTACATCTAATGACACAAAGTTATTGCTGAAAATTGTAGGAGTTAACACAGCTCAATGGTAGAAGTATTGTAGAGAGAGAAATTCTTGTAATGAAAATGAGATACTTGTGGTATGAGTTTATGCTGAGTAACGTACCACTTCAAGTCCATCAAGTCTATTGTATAGTCCCTTATTTGTCTTACTCTTTGTATCTATACTATTTCGTTCAGTGTCTGACAAAGAAAAGAATTTTGTAATTGTGCATGTATGCATGAAAGATTAATTTAGATACTTAAGTGAGTAGAAGCCCTACTTTGGTGGTCCTGACTGCACATCCATTACTGATAGGATCAAACAGGCTTATGGAGCTCAGCTATTAGACCTCTAGCCGCCCTGCCTCACTTGCTTTCAAGGAAATGACCAAAGAAAACTTGGTATGTTATTTTAGAATATGAAATCCTGTAATAATAAACGTATGGTTTAGCTAAGTCAGCTAAACATTGTCATTTTTGAATAAGTGTCAGCTCTCTTTGTGTACCTTTCTATAGTTCTAAACTATTGCTTGTTTCTTATTTAGGATGCTGCAGCTGATTCAGAGTAGGCTACAAGAAGAGCATTCACTTCAAGATGTGATATTTAAAAGTGCTTTTAAAAGTGCATCAACAGCTCTTCCACCAAGGTGAGATCTGTATTTTAAATGTGCAACTGTTTATTATGAATTTACTTTGACATAGTTAAAACTAAAGTGTTGGTTTAGTTTTCTGAATCTTATTTTTCTTAAGAAGGGAAAATAGAATCATTCTTTACTATAAAGACACCTTTTGCTCTTAAATTTATAGGCTGTGATTTTGATCAGAATTATCACAAATATTTATTTGCATTTAATTTTCTTTTTTATGCGTGGTATACCTCCATATAAAATTATATTGAGTTTTAAGAAAAATTAGTTTCATTTACTATTTTGAGGACCCATAAGCTTTGGTTAGAAATTTTATTTCACGTTTTTGTATTTTAAAGATTAGAGGCTGGGAACAGTGGCTCACGTTTGTAATCCCAGCACTTTGGGAGGCCAAGGCAGGCGGACCATTTGAGGTCAGGAGTTCGAGACCAGCCTGACCAATGTGGTGAAACTCCATCCCTACTAAAAGTACAAAAAAATTAGCCGGGCGTGGTGGGTGCATGTACGTAGTCCCAGCTACTCAGGAGGCTGAGGCAAGAGAATAGCTTGACCCCAGGAGGTAGAGGTTACAGTGAGTCAGATTGTACCACTGCACTCCAGCCTGGGTAACAGAGCAAGACTCTGTCTCAAAAGAAAAAAAAAAAAAGATTAGTGGATATTTGGAAATGCTATAATCATAAATATAATAAAAATGTGCAAGATTTTACATTTGCTTACGAAGAAAATGTCATTGTCTCTTTGAACTTAGGTGGCATACCTTTCCTTTACCTCAATCATATTTCTGTCCTCCCTCCCTCTCCCTGCTACAGTACCAGAAATAAATGAAGAAAATAGGTCTTTTTGGACTAATTCTTTTGTTTTAGTCTTCTGTCACTGGACTTAGTCCTCTGGTTAGAGTTGAAGAACCATGGAATTTCAAATTTATGTAAATGTAACAGATATTAAATAAGTATTTTTTTCCCATTTTATAGATGTGTAATTTTTATAAATGTCTAGACTTCAGGAAACTGCTATTCTATTTTTAACATTTAGAATATTACCTAAAAAATGATCTTTAGGGATTTTTTTTTCTATACACATTTTTCTCATCATAAAATGGTAACTATGTTGAATGTGCTTTAAATAATATATCTTATTTTAACAGAGAAGATGATTCATCACAGTCTCCAGATGCATGCAGAATTCATGGCCATCTATATGTCAATAAAGTAGCAGGGAATTTTCACATAACAGTGGGCAAGTATGTTCTTTTCACTTACTGAAAATGCTTTAAACAAAATTGGAGCTTGGTTAAAAGTAAATTCTGGCCAGGCAGGGTGGCTCACGCCTGTAATCCTAGCACTTTGGGAGGCCGAGGTGGGTGGATCACCTGAGGTCAGGAGTTCGAGACCTGCCTTCCCAACATGTCAAAACCTCGTCTGTACTAAAAATACAAGAAATTAACTGGGCGTGATGGTCGGCGCCTGTAATCCCAGATACTTGAGAGGCTGAGGCAGGAGAATTGCTTGAACTCAGGAGGCAGAGGTTGCAATGAGGCGAGATCATGCCACTGCACTACAGCCTGGGCCACGAGCGAAACTCTGTATCAAAAAAAAAAAAAAAAATGAATACTTTGCTAATCAAATAACATATAGCTAACTACTAAAGGATTGCTTAAAATACCATGTATATGTATTTTTAATGTCTTGAGATTGTTGTCTGGGGCTTCAGTCTCAGGATAGAGAAAACTACTAACTTCAAAAACTACTTAAAAACAAAAGTAAAGCAGTCATGTCATGTGTTGTGTATTAAAGTAATTGAACTGTAGGTAAATATCAGTTACAACCTTCTACTTGCCAGGTTTTAGTAGCCAGAGAGCTCTTACCTAGACATTTCATTAATTTGTTCATTTTTTTTTTTGATATGGTATTAGGTTTTTGTCTTAACGTTTTGGTGGTCCTCATCAAAATGTAATTCCTGGCTAATCCTAGACAAGTGTTTTGATAAAGTTAGAAATTAGCAGTGTCTAGAATATAAAGTTAAATTAGGTAAAAGTTAAAAAATATGAGCAGCAGCCAGCACAGAAATTGTCATAAACACTTGTTAAATTTTTGAGTGAATAAATAGATCCATTCGTCTTTCCCTCCCATATAGAGAGCTGAACTGAACAATTCTTTATTGTACAAGACATTTTTTGAGTACTTGCTATGTGCAAAGTACCGTGCTAGAAACTCAGGATAAACAGTGAAGAAAAAAATAAAAGGTTTTTGCCCTTTTTAATTTATTTTATTCCAAACTGTACAGTATAAATATGACTTGTTATTTTAAATAGGCCTGACATTCTGTAAGAAAATCCACACTTTAAGCAGTGAATACGTTAATAATTATTTAATGATAGTTGTATCGAGGCTGTAAAGGAGAAGTATGGCTGATAAGAGACTATTTAACAAGGTATTAAACTTACGTTGCAAGTCAGTTGAGCCCTTATTGAGGAAAACCTTTGAACACTAGGAGAAGAGGAGGAATTTAATATATAAAGGAGGGAAGGGCATACAGCAGGAAAGAGCATGGCTGGAAATTTTAAAATATATATAGAGAGATAACATTAGATTTCTATGAAAAAGTATTTCAGTATTTACAATACTCAGATCAAACATTTATTTTTTTCTTCGTTATCTCTTGAAATTTATGTTTTGTTGTTTTGTTACCATTACCCATCTCCAACCTAGCCTGTTGCTGGGAACCTTGGAATGTCTTGAAATCGTAGCTTAAAGAAATTTAGAAGATTTTATTGCACCTTTGGATACAAACAATATTTTAGTCCAGCACCAACTCAAAGAGGGAAATTTTGACAAATATTATATCAGACTCTATATTATGTCCCTTTTTAAAATTTGTTTTTGGTCTTTTCACAATTTTACTTTCCTTCACAGGTGGTAACTCATACTATCAGAGAGGCCAAATGGAAAAGCATTTGGTTTGTATCTTGTCATCTCAGGGATATCCTGTAAACCCACTCCTAATTTTTTAGTATTACATTTGTCAAGTTCAATATTGATCTTTTTCAAGGTCTCATATTACCTCTCAGACCCAGTGTCAATCTCAACTGTAATATAAAAGAGTAATAAAAGGAGCGTAATTTGTAGCATAATTTGTATTTCAGTATGCTTGAGTGTGAATACACTAGAAGACATAATGAAGTAGGCAGATGCTTACCACTTATATGTAGAGTTTTTAAATATATAATAACTACAAATGCAAACTGAAACAGATGTATTAGCTACTCAAATACCATGAGTGACATTTCCATTGATGAGATGATATTCAGAAATAGGAATACCTCTTTGTAATATTAAACAAAACAATATAAGCTTCCCTTAGTTTTCTGGGAGATTTAGTGTATATCAAAATGACAACAGGTACTTTATATAGTTAAATGGAGTTCAGTTCTAGACTCAGATTATTATAATAGACTTTTCATGTAGATGAGTATCTCTTAGAGCGTTTGAAACTCAGGTAAAACCTGGGATGATTCTTTTTTGAATGAGACTGTCAATTTCATTGTAGGATGCCTTGTTTCTGTGCCTGTTGTCCAGTAAATCCCAATAGCAACCACTTCCCAATAATTCTGACAACTCAAAATGCCTCTCTTCACCCCCCACCAATTTTCAGAACAACTTTTCCTGCACTGAAAGTCATGCAGGCCAGATTCTTGTCTGATAGGGTAGAAAATATTCCAGAAAAGAAACAGGTAAATTCTGAATATCCATCCTCCCTATGCAGAGTTTTAACAAGTGTCAGATAGCTACAGTCATCTGTACTATGGTGATTTAATTTGATTTAAATTTAATTTTTTGAAGAAGATGCTCACATATGCTGTTATTTCATAAAATGAATACACCTGTCAACAACAACAACAAAAAAGGAAATATTATTTAAAACAGCTCTCTATTCCTCTCAGAGTAAAATCCTGGGTGGTGAGAGAGGTCATTGAAGTAAAATGTATAGGTTGAGCATCTGTTATCTGAACATCTGAAATTCAGAGTGCTCCAAATTTGAGCATTGTCAACACAATGCTGAAAGCAAATGCTTAAGAGTGTTTCAGATTTCAGATTAGGGAGGCCTTCCTGGCAAATAAAATGTACATATTCTAAAATCTAAAATTTGAAACTTCTGATCCCAAGCATTTTGGATAAGGGATATTCAATGTGTAGTATTGTAATTCGGTTATTCAGAAAAACTCTAAATTTGTTTGTTTGAAAATAATAGTAGGAACACTGTTAGGCTGACAATGTGAGTGGAGCTAGGAATAATTTATGACAGTAGACTTTCTTTTTAGTACTAAGCTTGAGGTAATATACTTGACTGAACCCAGAAGAATTTACGAGACCAAACTACCAATCATTCCAGTGCATCAGGAAATGCTTTATTGAGCAGGGTTTTAGTATACTTTGTGTTGAATGTCAGTTAATACTTTTCCCTAATCATTGTATTGCCTTTTTTAAAGTGCCTGGTGTTTTGCTAGGTAACACATAGAACAAATTAAACAATGTTTAGACCTACTACGGTGTATTCTGAAACTTGACAATGGTGACAGTTAATTGGTAATAAATAAAGAAGGCTCCTTTATGGAGAGTTTCTGTTTTCAGTTTTTTAGTTAATTGCTAGAATTGGCAACTGGGTAAAGCAGGATTGTGGTAAAGGAGATCTTCAAGGTGATTTTTTAATTTTTTTTTTAACCAGGAACAGGGAAGGATAATACTTATTTGTAGAAGTATAAAGATGTTAAAAGAATAGGTTAAATTTGAAAGATAACAGTGTATGACAGAACAGAGGTTTACTGCAGGGGCAGGCAAACTACAGCTTATATTCCAAATCCAGCCTACTACCTGTTTTTGTATGGTTCAGGAGCTGAGAAAGGCTTTCAAATTTTTATTTTTTAAATTTTATTTATTTATTTGCTTGGTTTTTTTTGAGACAGAGTCTCACTCTGTTGCTCAGGCTGGAGTGCAGTGACATGATCTGGGCTCACTGTAATCTCTGCCTCCCAGATTCAAGTGATTCTCCTGCCTCAGCCTCCTGAGTAGCTGGGATTACAGGTAGCCCCCCACCACGCCCATAATTTTAGTATTTTTAGCAGAGACAGGGTTTCACCATGTTGGCCAGGCTGGTCTCAAACTCCTGACCTCAAGTGATCCATTTGCCTTGGCCTTCCAAAGACCTGGGGATTACAGGTGTGAGCCACCTTGCCCAGCCATGGTTTTTACATTTTTAAATATTTGAAAATAAATCAGAAGGGGAGTAATATAATACATGAGAAATACATGAAAGTTAAATTTGTGTCCAGAAATAAAGTTTTATTGGCATATAGCCGTGCTCATTTGTTTATATATATGGCTGCTTTTGTATTACAGTAACACAGTTGAGAAATTCTGGCAGAGACTGTATATGACTCTCTCATTACTTTGTACTTTGGTATACTATGAATTGCAGTGATGCAGTTATAATTTGACAGCATTGAAAGTGCTGTGTGTATTCCTGTCCTGCAGCATTTTATTTATTTATTGTATTACTATGTTTAAAAAAAAAGAAATATGACTTCAAATGTTGCATTTTTAAAGCACAGTGGACTTTGGATTATTTGATCAAATTTGGCTGCAGAACATCCTGCGTATTAAGCAATGACACTAATTGTACTAAAAGAATAGAGTATATGTTGATGGTGCCAGACTGATCATTCATCACAGTGTTACCAACCTGTAAAAAAGCAATGGTCAGAAAAATTAGAAAATTAAAAATGGAATATCCAAACACTAGAATTTTATAAAAAGTGAAAATGAAGCTGTAATCTTTAAGTGCCTCATTGTTTAGCAAGTAAGGAAAGTCATCCAACCATTTGATAAGTCTGTGAAGCAATGTTTGACTGCCAAAGCTAAAGAAATGACTCCAGAGAAAATAAATTTGCTTTAGACAATTAGATGACTAGCCTTCTTCAAGAAAAGTGTTCCAGTAGATGAGGACATTGAGAGCAGTATCTAATAGCCAGTTCAAAAACAAACCAGGAGATTTTGAGTAGTTCCTAAATTCTTGATCAGTGGGCAGATGTTACTAGAACTGCTTATTGTTTAATCGAGGAATCAATGCTGAATTTGAAGTGATTGAAGAATTAGTATCTGTGAATCACCTGCTTGCAACAAAAACTATAGGCAAGAATATTTTCATAGAAGTTGAGAGAACACAAATTCAGTACATCCTAAAGTAGAATCTGGTTGGTATATGTTACAAATGTATTATAACTGATGGTGGTGTGTGGAGCAGAAAAAGGCCTACTTGGATGCCTTTCAAACCTTGTGAAAATGTAGTGTTTAATGCCTGTTGTTATCCATTGTATCATCAGTAGTACTTTGCAAAAAATATTTGAATTGATGATGTATTTTAAACTGGTGTGTCAATGGTAAACTTCATTTGCTCTCCTGGACCTAAATATTGACATTTCCGTGGTTTCTTTTTGGTCAGGTATAAAAACTAAATATTCCATCTTGCCCTACTACGTAGCAGTTTGATGGCTTAGCAGTACATTTTTTGAGCTCAGTGCCAAGATTGGATTTTTTCTGAATGAGAAAACTTCCATCAGTTACAATTACTGAGCAAGGAATATTTTTGGAAATTAAGTTTCATGCAGACTTAATAATGTTTAATGAATTTAGCCTAAAAGTATAAGGCAAAACCAATTTTTGTGAAATTTATATTGTAGTAAAGTTGTTTCAGTGACTAGTGATTTTGAGTGGTTTTTTTTACTTTTCATGCCTTGATAGCGTTTGCTGTCAAAAGTTAAAGCAAGAATCTAGACTCATTCTCATACTTGAATATATTTTCTGACTTTTCAAACTGTAGTTCCAGAACTTCAGACATTGATGCAAATACAAAGGAAATTTCCATGTTTCAAATTCATTTAACTGCGCAATTGAGGAAATTATGCTTTAATTTAGATTGGAAGTTATTAATCTGCAATATAATAACATGTTTATAGGTAAATAAGTGTTAGGAGAAAAATCTACTGGCATTCTGTAAATGTCTTTCAAGCAATCAGTATGCTCAGCTCATACTCGTGGATTAATTTTTCAAAGATGAAATACTTAAAATGTCATTATAGATCATCATCATCAGATAAAGATTTATGGTCAGTTTTGAAAATAGGAAACATTCCAAACCCCAATTAAACAAAGTGTAATCTCCCTGCAAAACAGTTGTATTACAAAAAAAAAAGGACTCATTACTATTATATCAATGAAAAGTTTGTGAAAATTTGCTTTTTCTCATTATGTAACTACATAATATACTTGATTTTGCATCTTGGTCCACAAAGCCTGAAGTATTTACTATCTGACTCTTTACCAAAAGTGTTTGCCAACCTCCAGCAGTTTATTGCATTGCTGAGATGAGTAGACTTGTCTGCTCAGTCATAGGCCAAATACATTCTTATGTTATTTTGTACTACGAAAACTTATATAACTTAGGGAAGATCCACTTTCTGATCTTAACAAATTATACATATAAATGGTATTACTTTAATATTGTTTTTTCTCCTTTCAGGGCAATTCCACATCCTCGTGGTCATGCACATTTGGCAGCACTTGTCAACCATGAATGTAAGCAGTTTCTGACTTTTTTTTAGTAAAGACGTACTTGAAAAAAATATTATTTTTTAAAGTGCAGATGCAGTGTAGTTGAAAGTGAGCTGTTTTGAAAACATATTCATCCAAAGGAAAAAATAAATTTTTAAATTGATTTACTTTAATCTGCATTTGTATTTGGTCATGGCTCAGAGTTGCTGAGGTTAGGGAGGAAAGTCTAGTGTACTTTCTATAACTTTGACACATTTCTGCTAATTTTTAGGGATAATGAAAAGAATACGTTTGCAGTTCATTTCAATTTGCAAATTGAAATATGAATATATAGATACGTATAAAGTATTCAGGTTAGTTTGGTATCATGATTGTCATAAGACTTAAGTTTTTAAAGTCTGCTTTAGAAGACAAAACAAGTATTGGATTCCACAAAAAATTAGTTTGGTCACATTAAGCAATAGTCTGTATTAAAAATATATCTGATCAGTTTTATTATATGGCTACACGGACATCATTCCAATTCTAACAATACAGCCCTGTTACTATATGATGATTTGGAAAAGGAAAGATGTATATTTTTGGCTTTCATTATTACAGTAATATTTTCTAGACGTTAAATTTTATATAATTACAAAATTTGAGGTGTAGCATTTTGTCCGAATTTATTTTATACATTTATTTATACATTTAATTTATATATTTAAACACATTTAATCGCATGTGTTTACATTTATTTTTCTCAAAGTAATGTGGCTTAAAATACTGTATTATTATCCTTGCAGATTTTAAACATTTTCATTTGAGAATAGATAAGGATGTAAACCAGTCTGTAACATGTAATTTCGAATAATATAATTTCTCTGCTAAGTTGTTTTTATTTTTTGCCTTTTAGCTTACAACTTTTCTCATAGAATAGATCATTTGTCTTTTGGAGAGCTTGTTCCAGCAATTATTAATCCTTTAGATGGAACTGAAAAAATTGCTATAGATCGTAAGTATTTAATATTATTGTTGGATTTTTCATGTAGAAAATTTTGCTTATAACCTGAATATTAATACATTTTTAATGTCTTCCTGACTACTGTGTAAAGATAATCTTTAAGTGGTTGGTGAGTGAGATGTGTGTGGAGAGAATTTGTCCTAGTAGTGGATGAAATTTGAATATTCAAATATGAGCCATAGAACAGAATAAAGAAATTCAAGTTAAAAGATGAAGTAGTTAAAAGGCAGAAGGAGTTCAATATAATCAGTAGAAATAGATGAAAAGTTAATACATTAATAGGGCATAACTGCACTTTTTTGTATTCACCAAAGAAAGAATAAGAACGAAAGAAAGGTTCAACATTATGAGAAGAACTTTCTTCGTTGTATAATATAGGTTCAAAGTTTTAAAATGCATATGTATCATTTTAGAAACCTCTCTGGAGAATTTTACAAACACCAGAAACTTAGTTATTCTGGAATGGTTTGGTTATTAACATAGAAGGAGTACATCGTAGCACAGATAACCTTTTTAAAATGTTCTTTTAACCTTCTGCTCCATTTAAAGAATCAAGTCTATCCAAATATGGAAAGATAATTTTCTTAGTTTTTTAGAAAGTTGTCTGTTTTCATGTTTTCTGCAGGTTTTTGATTGCCTCTTTCTAAAATAGTCATGTTATATACCATGTTCCAGCTATTGGACATTTAAAGGACTTCTGAAGCTTATTCAGCTAGTAGGAATTCTGTCCTTTGTAAAATTATAATTAAGGATTTAGTTTTTCATTAAGTAGATTTATTAGTATTCTATTTAGATTTATTCATATTCTTTACTTTTTAGCAGTGTTATCATATATTAAAGATATTTAGAATTTAGAATACTGATTTACATTCATGAATATTTTATGTTCATGTGGGAATGTTTCCCTTCAGGAAAGCTGAGTGTACTAAATTTAGAAATGTGTGGATGGAAACATTTTGAGATTTATAAGCTTTAGTCAGTATAATCTAATCTGTAATCTAAGCATATGTTAATTCTCCTCTGAAATGAATTGCATGTTACCTGAGAGATGCTCATTTGGAAACAAACTGGTCGATGCTTTGTTTCAAGATGTTAGAATGAACTACAAATTTTTGTACAGAAGCTCTTCTAAATATAAACAAGTTAATTTTCAAAATGCTGTTTTTAAGTGCACTTCTTTCTAAATTCAGAGAAACTAAGAGGTATTTAGAGTCATATTCTGAAATGCTGTTAGGTGAGTATCATCAGGTTATTCAAAGCTTTAAAGCAGTTTGTGTACTTTTCTCCTCCGTAATATATGTTTCATTCGGCCTCTTTTTCCAAAAAGAAAAACATCACCATTACATATCTGCTCTGTCAGGTACCTATCCCTTTCCTGATGTTCTCCAGAAGTATTGCAGGGGTTACTTAACAATTAACATCTTTAATGCAGTGCAGATTTGGATAAACAAGATAGACGTAGTCCCTGCCCCTCATAGAGCACACATTCATATAGGGAATTAGATCTTTAGGTAATAAGTGTTAGGGCAAATGGCTCTGAACAAAATAAAGGAGATTGCCTATGATACGAGAAAGGGCATGGAAGAGGCTGTGGTATTTGAAAAAAAACTTGAGTGAAGTAAGTAAGTGAGCCAAGTGATGATCTTTTTGAGAGCATTGCAGGCAGTTTTATTATTAACGAAGCTCATAGAAATAAAACAATCTATATATGCTGCCACAAACTAGTTAACCTAACTCCATACTCCTCCTACTCTGCCAACTTCTCAAATGGCAGGGATGGCTCACTTTCCTAATGGTAGAGAGGTGGATATGTATGTCTTAAAGACAGAGCTGTTTAAAAGAGAGAATGCCTATACTATCTAGTTGAGTGGCTTAGCCACACATGATTACTTTCTGCAGATGAATCATTCCTTCCATGAGTGAGAGGGAAGTGGAGAGTAAGGTCAAAGCTTTTACTCTTTTATGTACACAGTGGTACAAGCTTCTATTTAAATCTGGGATAAATTTTTCTGCTTAAATTTAAAACCATGCTCCCCTTGAGTGAAACCGCCTGGATTCAAGTTCTCACTCTGCCACTTAATAACTTGGACTTTGGCCTGTTTCTTAACATCCCTCTACTTGAGTTGCTTCATCTCTAACAAAAGGATAATAAAAACATTTACTTGCTTATCTAGTTGAACCTATGGATAGATGTATCTAATTATAATTTTTCCAGAGAATTCTCTAGACCTAGAGAATTAACGTGTTTTATATTATGTGAATGGGTAATTGTTTACAGTTAATTAGTAATTGGCAATATACTGATATTTAAAACTTGTGTCAAACTTAGAAATGCCTAATGACTACATAAAAATGATCCTTTTGATTACACAGTAACCCCAGGCCATCATTGAGTAGTTTCTTTAGTTTTCTTCCTACTATGATATCAGTTCCTTGTATTTATTCAAAGGCTAGCTAATTTGATTTTAGTGTAGTGTATATCTTAAGATATTAGTAGAAACTAAAAATGTGTCTTGTGGTGGTTATTCTCTTATAATTTTATCTTATTCTTAGTTTCTGTACTGTAAAGAAATGCTGGCCAGGCGCAGTGACTCACACCTATAATCCCAGCGCTTTGGGAGGCCAAGGCAGGAGGATTACTTGAGCCCAGGAATTTGAGACCAGCCTGGGCAACATGGCAAAACCGTGTCTCTACTAAAAACGAAAAAAAAATTAGTTGGGCTTGGTGGTGTGCATTGTAGTCCCAGCTACGCAGGAGGCTGAGGTGGGAAGATTGCTGGAGCCCAGGAAGTCGAGGCTGCAGTGAGCCATGATTGTGCCACTGCACTCCAGCCTGGATGACGGAGCAAGATCCTATCTCAAAAAAAAAAAAAAGCTACTTTTTCATATTTGATAAAAGGATAATAATGATTATAAGGAATATTTAACTAAGTCACCAGTTCATTTTTCTTAAACATCTGTGTTGCCCATCTTATGCTTACTGAGAATTTGTTTTACTGAGTATAAATATGTTGCTTTCATTGGGTCTTTCTTTAAATTTTTTTTTTGTTAGACACTAAGTTATGTGTAACATTACATTTCAGATTAAATGTTTTTATTTTTTATTTGTTTGAGACAGGTTCTTGCTCTGTTGCCCAGGCTGGAGTGCAGTAGCACAATCATGGCTCACTGCAGCCTTGACTTCCTGGGCTCATATGATCCTCCTACCTCAGCCTCCTGAATAGCTGGGACCCACAGGTGCATACCAGTATGCCCAGCTAATTTTTAAATTTTTTATAGAGACAGGGTCTAGCTATCTTGTCCAGACTGGTCTCGAACTCCCAGACTCAAGCAATCCTCCTTCCTTAGCCTCCCAAAGTGCTGAGATTACAGGTGTGAGCCACCACATCCAGCTAAATTTCAGGTTAAATGTATTTAATAGAAGAATCTATTTGGCAGTAGTTTGTTGCTACTGAATTGATAAAAAGTTTTTTTTTTTTTTTTTATATTCTAGACAACCAGATGTTCCAGTATTTTATTACAGTTGTGCCAACAAAACTACATACATATAAAATATCAGCAGACACCCATCAATTTTCTGTGACAGAAAGGGTAAGTTGAATCCAACTGGTAAAATAAGTTGGTGATTTCTTTAAAAAGCATTTTAAAGTTTCCTGGCTACAAAATAAGGTGGCGTTTTACTTGCTGTCTTCCCTCATTTAAAAATCTGTGGAAGTTTGGAAATGAATTAACATTTTATTTTAAATCAGAAATATATCAGAAATGAATATTAGTATATTCTAAAGCAATAAAAGTAGATATTAAAAAATCTGAAATGTTTTCTATTGCATTAAGACTTAAAATTATTAAATTGTGATGGCCTTAATTATTTTATTCTTAATGTCTTAATTTTGTAATGTGTTTTCTCATAAGTTGATATAAGCAGTTCTTGATCTGGCAGCAGATTCTTTGAATTCTATGTTATTTATTTATTAAAAATGTACTACCTTTTCTGGGCATATGTGGTTATGGATTAGATAGCAAATTTAGAGGGTTTGCCTTCTTAAATTAATGCTTTGTATTCATCTGATTGTGATGAAGAACATTCCACTAGCTCAGAGTGGTATGGCCATATAAATAAATGCTGACAATGATGAGCAAAGGTTTGGAATTGGACAGTTTAATAGACTTCTCATCTACTTTGGGGTCATGTTTTCTTATTTTTCTGTTTGAATGGTGAGTATTCAAACACTTGTATCCAAAAGAATTCTAAGGCAAAATTTAAGTGCTTTAAAATTTTTGCTTTCCTTTATATAGTGTTTTCTTTTACTAGCCTTATAACTCATGATGACCATGCCCTCAATAATTGTGGAATTTTTTTTTTCTTATGAGCTTAGATATTGAAGTTTTTAGGGGTAAAGTGTCATGTGTCTATAGCTTTTCACTTGGCATGGGGAAAGTACAAGTTCATATAACTGCATATAGGTGTATAGGTATGTGTGTATATACACTCACAAAGAAACTAGGTAAAGTTTATACAAGAACATATTGTGCTTTTCAACATTTATTTAAGGAGTGGGGAGATTCCATTTCTCACCTGTAAGATTGGCAAACACCTGAAAGACAATATATACAGTTGACAACACTTTGGGGAAAATAAGCAAACATGCAGTGCTATGGGGATGCAAAGTGGCATAATCTTTGTGGAAGGTAGTTTAGCAGTACCTGCAAAAGGACATATGCATTTACCCTTTGACTCAGCAATCGCACTTCGAGAAATCTATTCCAAAGATACAGTGGGCAAAAATATAAAAATGTGTGTTTCAGGCTATTCATTACATTGTTATCTGTAATAGTAGAAGGTTAGGAACAACCCAAATGGCACATCTACACACTGGAGGAAGATGCAATTGTTAAAAATCAAATGAGAAAGATCTCTGTATACTGTGATACGAAATATCTCCAGGATATATTTTTAAAATAACAAAACCAAAATATATATATATATAATAGAATCCCAGGGCATTTGATTGTTGAAGGATGTGTTTATAGATAGGGTGACAAATAGTTTTTTAACTTAAAAAAGAGTGGAGTAACTGGGTTTGGTAAAGTACACAATACGGGGTGGGAGGGAGAGAGCTGACATTAATTAGTCCTGGAACCCAAAGTGAATCATTATTAGTCTTTCATTATGTAGATGCCCTGATCCCTAAAACAGTTTCTACCCTTATAGGTAGTGACAGTATATTTATAACTCAGCATGATATTGAGCATTTTAGAGCTGTAAGACAGTCACTTTATTGGAAACTTGATCAGTTGTCTTATAAGGTTGTATTGTGCTAATAATAGGGAAAGGGTTTTGTAATGCCCTACATAAAACTGTTTTAATTTCCCTTGGTAGTAGTTAGCTTCATTATTTGTATTCCTAAAGGTTGCAGTTTAGTTACAGCATGAGGAACATGCCATATATTTGTAAGCTCTTGAGCTCAGTAGAAAACTTGTATCTAAGGTGATCTTTTTGAGGAGAAAAGAATGATTCTGCTCTTTTGATAGTTTCAAAAGCTAATTGCACAAAGAATACAAAATAATTTGTCCCTGAAGAGCTTAGTCTAGTAGGACAGTTCATAAGGAAATGTGGATGTCCTTCTTTTACAATAGGGCTGCAGGGCTTAATATTGAATGTATGTAAGTAACCAGATGACATGAATTCTGTTTCTTTCTTCCTCCTGTTTCTCTGCTTCCTTTTGCGTCCCTTTTAGGAACGTATCATTAACCATGCTGCAGGCAGCCATGGAGTCTCTGGGATATTTATGAAATACGATCTCAGTTCTCTTATGGTGACAGTTACTGAGGAGCACATGCCATTCTGGCAGTTTTTTGTAAGACTCTGTGGTATTGTTGGAGGAATCTTTTCAACAACAGGTTAACAACCATTTCCTTTTTGTCTGATTTCTAAAAGTGTTGCTTACACTTAACTTGCTTCTTCTCAAAGGGGCAAGAAGTATAACAGATTTTCATGTTTCGGTATTTAAGTAGCTTTTTCTTTAATTACAAAACTCCAAAATTATATTGACTAACTAGTAAACGTAACTAATTTCATTGTATTCAATGATGTAAGGTAGATTATATAATGGTGAATTAGAAAGATCCTGGGTATTAACATCAGATTGAACTAGAATTGAATGTAAGTTCTGCCATTTACTTGATAGTAGCCTGGAATAGATCACCTACCTTTTTTGAGGTTTTCTAATCAGTAAAAGTAGCAATAATAATATATAATTTGCAAGTGTGCTGTAGAATTAAATATGAAAATGCCTACAAGGCATTTAAGGCATTTTATACAGTATGTAAAATCATATGTTACAGTACTTTGAATTATGCAATACATGAAACTAGATTTGTAATCAGTGATGTGTTTATGATTTTTATCCTGAATCCTGGAATAATTCGCTAAGATTATTTGTTGAATTGTAATGATGAAAATTGGGAGTTAAGTACAATACAGGAAAAGGAAACAATTCTATTTTCATCTTCAGTCCTTATTCAGTATTAGATGAAGCAGGATAGTTTATTATACTTAGAATCATGTTTTTAAATGAATGAATAGCTTTTCTTTGGAAATTCTTTGTTAGTACTTCATTTCAATCTATTTAAATTTGTGTTGTTGACATCATTTATTTACCAAAATTGTATTGGTTTGGGAAAACTTGAAAAGATTGTGTTTAGGCCAGGTGCAGTGGCTCACACCTATAATCCCAACACTTTGGGAGGCCAAGGCTGGCAGATCAACTTGAGACCAGGAGTTCCAGATCAGCCTGGCCAACATGGCAAAACCTTGTCTCCACTGAAAATACAAAAAATTAGCCGGGCATGGTAGCACATGCCTGTAATCCCAGCTACTTGGGAGGCTGACGCACAAGAATTGCTTGAGCCAGGAGGTAGAGGTTGCAGTGAGCCAAGATTGTACTACTGCACTCCAGCCTGGGTGATGGAGCGAGACATCTCAAAAAAAATAATAATAAAAGATTGAGATTGATTGTGCTCAGATCATGAATTATGTGGCCTTGTGATTTTGAAAAGAAATCCATTTGTTTTTAAATCTATCTTGATTATTTTTTAACCATGGAAGTGAATAATGCAAACTGCTTTATTTTCTTCCATAATCTATTCCATTATAGTTATTTATTCTTAAATAACAGTTTAGGAAATAATTAAAAGCATAAACTTATTGTTTATTACAGGCATGTTACATGGAATTGGAAAATTTATAGTTGAAATAATTTGCTGTCGTTTCAGACTTGGATCCTATAAACCTGTCAATTCTGTAAGTGGTATAGTATACATGGTGCTGATCTCTAAATCTTAGAATCATTGTTAAGTCTATGGGCCAGTCATGGTGGCTCACACCTGAAATCTCAAGACTTTGGGAGGCCAAGGCGGGAGGATCGCTTGAGTCCAGGAGTTTGAGACCAGTCAAGGCAACATAGTGAGAGCCCCATTTCTACAAAAGATAGAAAAAATTAGCTAGGCAAGGTGCTGCAAGCCTGTAGTCCCAGCTACGTGGGAGGCTGAGGTGGAAGGATCACCTGAGCCCAGGAAGTTGAGGTTGTAGTGAGCTGTGCTCGTACCCCCGCACTCCAGCCTGGGTGACAGAGCAGACCCTGCCTCAAAAAAGATGGAGAGAGAGAGAGAATAGTAGCTTTTGGTTCCTAGAAAGGATTGCCCAAAATAAAACCTTGTGTTTAGAGGAAAGAATGTAAGGAATAAAACTAATTCTTTGGTCTTTTTTTCCCTCCTTTTCTCTTTAGGTTCCTTTTGAGGATGGCCACACAGACAACCACTTACCTCTTTTAGAAAATAATACACATTAACACCTCCCGGGTGAAGGAGAAAAACTTTTTGCCTGAGACATAAAACCTTTTTTTAATAATAAAATATTGTGCAATATATTCAAAGGAAAGGAAACACAAATAAGCAGAAAACATACTTATTTTAAAAAAGAAAAAAAAGGAAAAAAAACCCCAAACTGAAATTCTATATATGTTGTGTCTGTTACAAATGTCCTAGAAGAAATCATGCAGCTAAACAGTGAAGAAGCCCAACTGGAGTATTGCTTTGAAGATGACACCTTCTTATATTTTCACAGCAAATGGGTGGTATCAAAATCAGACATTGCTTCTTGGTGATAAAAAGCCTGAAGGAAATAAGTGAAACTACATCTATGGAAAAAAAAAAAAAAAAAAATTGAGAAGTGCAAATGTTTGCATCTTTTGTTTTTAAAAGATATGATGTCAGAATAAAATGTGGAAAACATATGGAAAACCAGTCTAGACTTTAAAGAATTCTGATCAGGTCACATTTTTAATAATAAAAAAAAAAAAAAACAGGGACTAGTTCCTATGTTATAGCCATATTAATGTTAAGCCATATTAACAAGACCAATTATCCAATAATTTGGTCTTAAAAAGTAACTTCTTTGAACTCTGATTATTGACTTATCTAACTGTTGAAGATAGAGTCTTAGAAGACTAAATTCTCACAGGGGCAGGTATGCAGGTGTTATGTAGCAAAGGTATCATTCACAAATAGTATATAGAATCTTATACAGGGGAAAGAAAGCACTTTTTTAAAAAAAGATGCCAAGTTTTTAATCTAATAATATTATTGGTATATTTTGGAGGACATAGGGTGAGTTATAAAAAAATCCACTACTGATGGTGGAAATTAGTTTGTAAAACATTAAGAGAAAAATAGGATATTTTATGTATGTGGTGAATGGAGAACAGGGTAACTTTAAATGACAGTGTAAGGCAAATTTTAAGCACCACAAGATATATCAGATCTGAGAGGTGGCATGTTAAACATTGTCCATTAAACTTAAAACTGGATTATGAAGTATTTGCATTCAGGGTGTCCTGAATATGATTGATTCTGTATTAGATTGTGTTCTAACTTTCTTACTATTTAAGGATTAGTTCTAAATCTTCAGATTATAAAAGATTAAAAATAGTGAGAGGGAGCTATCACACAGGTACTGTTAAAAGCTGTATTTGGAATATGTGTGCCAATATCAGTTTTCCTTTTGTAATACTGAATGACAGTAGAAGAATTATCAACCAGTCTCCAAAGTTTTAATCATTTAAGGAAATGGGGAAAGAAAATTCCAGGTAAATAACAAGACTGAAAGATTAGATTTAAAATAGTGGTTTTAGAAAGTAGGATATCACAAGTAACAGTTTTTCAAATGAATTTTTTTCAAGATAAATGTATAAAAACAGGATAACTAAAATGGAGAGAAGGAGAAATAGTGATGGGTCTATTTTGCAGTAAAGTTTGTGCAGAATGATATTTTGCAGAAAATAACAGAAGCATCATTAATATATGTATATATCATTAAGAGCCATGAAGTTAACTGATGAAAATAAGTGATACACTTGGAAAGATTTTTGCATCCAGAAAATTCTTAGTAGTGAATGAGCCTTCTCTAGGTTTTGATTTATTTTTCTGAAGATTATTTCCAACAAAGTTTGGCTGTAAACTAACAGAACATCTATCAACAGGAATCTTCATAGGAAAGAATTAGAATTTAGACTGATCGCTGCTCCTTCAAGTATGCTTGTAAGAAAATTCAATAGTTTCAGGGCTTTTTCTAAATGGGAGGGAAAACAATATTGATTTAGGATTATTTTCTTTAGGATTAGATCATTTTAAGTATTAAAAAGGATTTTAAAAATTATTTTGATATATATGATTTTTAATTTTCATATTTTCCAAATACCATATTAAAATTTTAATTTATCTCCTATGAAAGGAATTTCTTTAAAGCAAAATTCTGCTTTGCCATTGATTTCCATAGGTTAAAGGCTTCCATCTGAAACTCCTCAAATAGAGTCAGATTTTTGGCAGTGGAAGTATTAAAATTCCAACCAGTCCTTTGGATGATGAAGTTTACCTGCATATTAGGATTTGTTAGGAGTTTTTGGCCTCACCAAGTGTTTCTTTTCTATTGCAGAGAGCACTTTACTCACCTACCTATTATGCAACTTTCCCTATGCCTGGAGGTGCCTCCAGAAAGGATACCCTACTTTATTACCCAATTCCCCTTTTTGTTTTAGTATTCATGGCGTCTATATGTTTATATTCCAGACTACATATTTAAAAGTCTGAGACCTCAAATTATATGAAATGGATTTTTTAATACTATGTTTGCATACATTGACCTATAAAGAAGATAAATATTTAGGTGAATAATTCCCTGCTGCAGTATTTGTACACTTCAGACTACCTCCTAGGAAAAGCTTAACTTAGTTTTACAAAATTCCTTTTTTTTTTTTTTTTAAGAGATGGGGTTTTGCACTGCTGCCCAGGCTGAAGTGCAGTGGCACGATCATAACTCACTGCATCCCCAAACTCCTGGGTTCAAGCAATCCTCCTCCCTCAATCTGCTGAGTAGGTAGGACTACAGCCATGCACCAACAACCTGGCTAACTCTTTTTCATTTATATAGATAGTGTTTTGCTGTGTTGCTCAGGCTGGACTCCAACTCCCGGACCAAGTAATCTTCCCACCTTAGTCTCCTGCATTGCTGGGATTATAGGCATGAGCCACTGCACCTGGCACCCAAGTTACTTCTAGTTCTCAAGTTAGATGATTAATATCACACTTTTCTCACGTTTTATGATAGCATTGAATTTTTATAATTAATTTACTAATCAAGATTTACAGTCTTTAATACAATCTTAATTTTGGAATTTGTAAAGGAATGACTAAGATCTAATTTTTTTTTTTTTTTTGAAACTGAGTCTCGCTCTGGTCTAGGCTGGAGTGCAGTGGTGCAATCTCAGCTCACTGCAACCTCCACCTCCTGGGTTCAAGTAATTCTCCTGCCTCAGCCTCTCAGCACCTGTAGCTGGGACTACAGGTGCGTACCACCAAGCCCAGCTAATTTTTTTGTATTTTTAGTAGAGACAGGGATTCACTGTGTTAGCCAGGATGGTCTCGATCTCCTGACCTCATAATCCGCCCGCCTTGGCCTCCCAAAGTGCTGGGATTACAGGCATGAGCCACTGTACCCGGACAGATCTAATTTTTTAATAGTGTAAGAGAAATACACTGTGCATTCCATCTATGTCCTGAGTAATTCAAGTACCAAAAAGTAATTTAATATGAAACTCCTTGAAAATTCAGAGCTTACACTTGAATTCAAGATGCCTATTTTTGGTTGTTTAAAAGTTACTTAAACCTGAGCCTTAGGACCTTTAAAATCTCAGCCTGCCTCTTAACCTAGTACTTTTCCTGTTTTGAGCTCTAGCAAACCTTCAGCAAGCCAAGGTGGTAGGTAGCCCTTTTTCAACACTATCAAATAGAGAGGTCACCAGTTGTTTACTACCTTATGGTAAAATGCCCGGATCAAGATCCATGTATCTGCCCATATTGTGATGATGCAATCAAAGCATAGTTTTTTTCTACTTTCTGAAATATTTCTTTGATAAAATCACTTTACATTTAAGAGTAGAAAACAGACTGCCTTGGATTTTTTTTTCAACTATTGAAAATACTGAAATTTTTTTTTCAACTTTTTTTTGTGTGTGTGTCTTGAGAGAAAAGAGAACATGAAATATTTAGTGTTGCAAGCACAAACGTTTGGACTCAATAAGTGACAAACTATGAAGCATTTTTTTTGTCTTTTTAATACTAGGAGAAAATGTACCGCCAAATAAGCCTCAGTTCCCATATTTAAACTTTTTTTCTCATAGAAAAGCTACAGGAATTTTAAAATATCATGTTTACATTTGCTTTTCTTCCAGATGGAGCTAAATTTCTATATGATCAGGATTTATTTTATATTTCTCATATTAAAGATGAAAAAGTGAAAATCGAGTAGTTGACTCGAATTTACATGTATAAATATGTGAACAGTTGAATACAAACAAGATTACAAGCAGTGAAACATTTAAGTAGTTTTGACAACTCCAAATAATATTTTGTGTTTCACAAAAGGAGTTAGGTTAACTTTTCCAAATATAATTCGTTTTATACTATTTTAATAAGGAAAAACTATTAAGGATGAGAAGGCATGAGATAAAGTATATATTAGTGAAAGCTATATACTAAAGCAGACCTTCAACAATAGCTCATAACTAATAAATGCTTTGTATTTTGTTTTCAAACAGTTATGTAAATCAATTTGGTGACTTCTTATACTGTACTGACATTTACTTTCTTTAAGGTATTTTTCTGGAATTGACTTAAATTGCCATATCACATCTGCTATTCCTTTTGCAGTTCCAGGTTGGAATCAGTATTTCAAATAAAGTAGGGACACATCTAAAATATTTGTGTATCAGAAAAGGTGTTTCTGGCTATTTAAACTCAAGTTAGGCATCCTTTGCCACAGTAGTATCTCCACTTTGCAGGGCACTACTGTCTCAAACCAGTTCCATTTGAAAACCAGCAATTAGTAGTCTTAGTTAACTAAAAAAAATGTTTTAAGTGATCTAGGCAGTGGGCATTTTTCCACACCTTTATGTGGGATTATGAGAATTGTTACTTCTTACTATAGGCGATTGCTTATGTTCCCAGACATTATTAGAATAGCAGTTCTAGAAGAGTAGCCATGTGGAAATTTACAAGTGATTTTTGTAAGCTTTGAAAATTATTGATGTTTTTGGAAACTAGACCGATCTACTTGAATTGTTTATGTTTATTGTAATATAACATGCTATTTGGGCATTATTAGACCAGTCTCTACCTTGAAATGCTAAGTTAATTAAATGAGGTGTTAAATGGAAGTAATGATGTTAGTTGAAAATTGCAAGAAGTGTTTCTGTGAATTGTGTGCCCATTTGCCTCAACCTTTTCTAGTATTAGTTGCCTCAGGCAGTGACTCTTCAACTCTGTAATACTTGATACTGTATCAGGTATCTTGTGGGTAGAGAATATAGGGATTGCCAGAATTTCTTTTGAAACATAGGTACCTTTTCTTTGTACTTTCCTCCTCTTTTTCCCCCACATAGAAGGTTCTTTCCCATTGCTTTGTTTATATTAGGCATTCAAGTAATTGCGAATTGGTCTTGATGTGAAATAGTTATATGCTAGAGATTGCCCTTCATACAGAGGTGTACCTGCTTTTACTGCCTAATCATCACAAAAGAACTTTGTGTCATTTATCTGATGCCACAAATAGAAGAATACTCATGTCAAAATAATCCTATTAATGGTGTTAGAAAAAGTGAAGCATTATGTACCTATAGGTTAATTTATATTCATCTGATAGTTATTCCTGTGATGTGATTTGTGGAAAGAGTTCTTTGGAAGTTATTTCCTTTTTCTGGGAGTTAGGGGGTGGGGTACAGGGGGTGTAAAGGAGGGAGAAGTGCTGCGGTAGTCAGCAGTTAAAGACAACACTAGAAGAGGGGAAGAATTTTAATTCAAATTTTTATTTAATCAAAAGTCAAAATGTGAATACTTGATTAGTGGAGTTATTGAATTGGTGAAACATACAATCAAAAGTGAATTCTTAGAACTATTATTATGTCTTAATCCAGTCCCACTGAGCTATATCTTGATTTCGTATTTTTACCATATCTATAGCTTGTATCTTAATTGATATAACGCAAAAGTACCATATAGACATCTCAAACTAAAGATCACCAGGTGCTTACTGTCAGAGCTGGGTGGTCTGCTATGGAAAGTCTTTCCCAGAATTTCGATGAGATTGGGGAAGATACTGCCCAGAAGAGTTCCTCCCAAATGCCCTTTATATAGAGCTCAGGAGAATCTGGAATAATACTGGGCTAGATACTGCCCGAAGGCCTTGTACACTTAAACTACCTCAGTGTGCCTTTCTGAATATTACTCAATTATTCCAGGAAGTGAGCATAAATATCACTGCCATTCTTTGTTAACATTTTATGCCTATGTCATTTTCAGCTAGTTATGTGGTGACTAATTTTAGTTGTTTAGGCCCCAAATAGTGTATTTGAGTAATATTCCATGTTTTTAACATGAAGAAATGCTGCAATCCAACGTACTCATCTCTCAAATATGAGGAAAGTTGGCGTAACAGTTACATTATTACTATAGGAATTGGAGAACATATATAGTTTTCACTAGTTTGCATTATACACAAAATATTTTTAAGAAAACAAAACCTATTTCCTAAACTTAAGAGTCCCTTAGTGAAGTCTATTCACTTTTCTGCTGTATGTTGTACAGTTAACATTGTGCAATGGGAATGATCACGATACTAGTCAATCCTCTAGTGATCGCATAAGTGCAATCTTCCCCACTTTATACCAGAAGCTACAGTTGAAAAGTCCATTTGAAGTTTTGTTTTGCTCAGTGGCAAAGATCAAATGGGACCATCCCTCTCCCTGTTAACCACTCTAATTGAGTCCTGAGTGGGAAAAGATTAAATATAAAGGGTTTGGCAACTTTTAGAAGGAGACTTTTGAAAGAAGGTTACCAAGAAAATGAGGATTAAAAAGATTTAGAAGTAATAGCTGTCAAATTCAAATTTGAGAATATCAATTTTGACTTAAAAGCATAATACATGAGTCCCCAATGCAAATATGCTTCATCCCTCACTTTATACATACTTATTTCCACTTCCTTTTCCTTTTAAAGAAGGGAATATAGTTAAGAAAAATGTTAAATGTAAACCTCCTTTTCTGATCCCCCAGCTGCCAAAACTCCAAGGCATAACGTGGAAAGAGACATTTTCAGGGGGGAATTACTTCCGTTCCTTCACTTTTGAGGATATTGAGATCATTCTCCTTCTACTCATCTTGATTTAAAATTCTTCTTTTGGGTACCCAGAATGGTTCCAAGGTTAGTACTGCTTGAATTCTTTTCAACTTCTGCCATGCATCTTTCCATATTTACTGAGTTTAAATGAATCCTCTCAGGGAGAAAAGAAAAGCTAAATATAGAAAAGTGGGAGTACTTTCACGTTTAATACGCAAGGACATCAAATAGAATGTTAGGAAACAATTTGAATTTTTTTCCCTAAAATGTAGGTGACTATGGGCTGGCTAGTTTACAACTTTCCTTCTCTCACTGAAATAAAAATATATAGTTAAGGAATAGGGATGAATACATAAAAGGTGACACTGACAGTTTGGGCATATTCCTTGTTACTTTCTAATCTTGAGAATCACAGTTTGCTGTTTTAGAGGTATCTGAGAGGTTCCAGATAAAAAGCTATGGTGAAATGTTCTTAAACTTTGAGCGTGCTGGATGCCCTAAAGTAGGAGAGGAATTTATAACAGAAGCTTACAATGAAGAACCAGACATTCCGAGCCATCTGAGATCTTGCAATGAGAAGACGCCAGACGATTAGGAAGAGGGCAGTATTAAAGAGGTAGTGGATATTTCGGAGCCTAGGGAAGAGACAGACATAACCAAAGTTAAAACTACCAGATACCCAACCACATTATCTGAAGATAAATGTGTGTTCTCTTGGATATGACTGGCAAGTATTAATGTAGTGCTCACAGAGTAGTTGGCATAACTTGGCCTTTTGGTTTTTGCATCTTTCATTTCCGCAGCATTCTTGCCGAATAGTCAGATTTCTACCATATTTCCCTAACTCATTTCTCTTATACCTCTCTCCATTTGAAACTATTTACAAGCATGACTAGCATAATCTTGTAAATATACTTTGATCATGTTACTGCATCATAAATCTTCACTGGTTCTTGTTCATTAGAAGGTAGATTCTAAAGTTCTTGGCTTGCTATTCAAGGTTCCTCCTTCCTGTTTTGCAAGCTACTTTTCTATCCTTATCATCTCTGCACTGCAGATCCTCTGCTTCTACCAGGATTATACCAGAGTGCTAGAATTTTGTCCCTCAGGGATTATGACTGAAAGAAATTTAAGGAAGTTGAAAAAAATTGAGGAGGGACTTTTTTCTAGGTTAAATAGCATAACCAGGTCTCCTGTCTGTTGGGTATTTATATCCCATTATGACAGAGTGTGGTAGAAGAAACAAATTTGGGTTCAAATCTGTCTCTTAGACTTACTGTGTATTACCATGGGCAAGTTATTTGCTGTGTTTAAATCTAAACATCTGTTTCATAAAAATGGAATAACAAAAGTAATACTTTCCTCATGGAGGTGTAGTGAAGTCTAAATGAAACTGTTACAGGGTAGAGTATAGAGTGCAGGACCTGTAATGTAGTAAATGCCCAAGAAATGTTCATTCTTCTCCTTCTCTGCACAAATGTTATGTCTGGTATAAAATCGGATGCACAGTAGGTGCTCAATAAATATTAACTGACTGATTATACTTACCTTTTTAAGTGTTGCTTTGCTTCTGGAATCCCAGCCATATCCTCTTTCAATAAGTATTTTTTAACTCCCAAAACATAATTTTCAATGTATTCCAACCAGTTCAACTGGCGCACATCAAAGTTGAATACCTGAGAGGCAAGAGAGATTATAGGTGGCCAGAATTGCAGTGCTGGACAGTCACTTTGTCCAGTTGAGGTTTCTTCTACATAGATGAGTGACCTTCAATTTGGGAGACATAGGTTGAACCTCTCCAAAGGAGAGATTATTTGAGTCATTATTTCAAAGGTGCTGATAATATGGATTACTATTTACATAGGAATATTTAAACATGGATCAAACACAAACACTTCACATTTCTTGTGAGGGAGATTTAAAGGAAATGGTATTACATAGTCTGGCGAAAGCTTATGGTTGGTTTGGTATATATTTCAGCTAACCGCGGAGTAATTATTTTTAAAAGTGATGGAATAATATGTTAGTGACCAAAACGTAAATGATGCAACGTTCCCTTTCCTCTTAAATTCTGGTGTTACCCGCTATCCTACCATCCTTTCCTAGAACATTACCACTTCATTATGCAGATTACACTTTGGTAAGCAAAGCCTTAAGGAATAAGTTACCATAATTTATATTTAAGAAGAGAGTAGTAGTGAAAGTAAAAAGGAGTGATCACAACATGGGGGAGGAGTAGGGAAGAAGGAGAAGGAAGAGATCTGTTTACGGAGAGAAATTTTGCCACGTAGAAGATAGATATAGAGAGTGACAATAAAGAAAAAGGATTAAAAATTTTAAGGTATCTTTGAGGAAGAGAAAAGACAGACACTTGCATGACCAAAAATATATTCTTTTTTTTGGTTTGTTACGAAAAAGCTGGAGTAAAGATTTGAATTGCATTCCATAGATTTTATTTTTTGTGTACTTTCTTTGAAAATGACGCTGGGCTGACACAGGATCATGAGGTGGCCCAGATTTATATGGTTTACAAATGGAGATAGGATGAGTTCGGAAGAGAAACCTGATAGGTCGTTCTTGAGCCATCCAGGGATCTTTTCAAAATCTCCATATAAAGGGCTTAACTGGAAAAAGAAAGGGAGGAAATGATCTTCAAATATATTAGAAAAAATAGTTTTGATTGAATATGAAGAATTTAGGGCACTAAAACCTGTTAGTAGAAAGACTGTCAAGAAGATTCTGGTATCATCTCTGGAAATATTTCAAGTATTAGGTATTCTTGGAGAGTTTGGTATGACCCTGTTATCAAATAACAGATTGCATCAGTGAGTGGATTTGGTTCAATAGGGTTTTATGTGGTGTATTTGGAGAGAATGGCCTGGAAAAATGGACTTGTGCTAGCCATTTAAAAAGTCTAATATTTATAAATCTTAGCAAGGGGAGGGTTTGTTTAAGGTGCCTTTGTCCTTCCAACTGGGTACTCTTCTCTCTCTTTGGACATACAGCACTCTCAGATCACTTTTTATATTAATCCCTGGAGATT